ACAGGACTCCGGAAGCTCTATGTATATAGATTATATGTATGCATCAAATACACACATGCATACATATATGAACAGCCCTACTCTAAAAAAATGTAGAACTATTAAGTAAATGTTTGAGGGCAGAGGACCATAGATGATAATAAGATCTTGGTGTCTAGGAGTTATTAACAAGACTTAGGAAAAAAAAAAGAGGAGAACAAAACATGAATAGGGATCTCCAATTAATTAGCCCATTTGGAAGACCATGGGAACAACTAAGAGTAGCTTTGTGTTTCATGTTACATAGTTTTACTGTCAGATGAACGTATGCCATGTTGACTGGATAGTCTACCACTATGGAGAGTCTGTTCTTAAACCTTAGGGTTATTGCCATGGAATTCTGGTCTAGGTGCAGCCATCATAAGATTACACTTAAAACATTCTGAGAGCACCATATCAGGAAGTTGGAAACTTTTCCAGGGTTACCAATCTCCAACCATCTTAACAATGCAGGTAAAGTGGAGGCCAAGTTAATTTCATGGAGAGAACTGGACTGGGAGTCAGAAGGCCTGAGCTCTACCACTTTATAGGTGTGTCACCTTGGATAACCTTTTATATTTCCATTTCCTCATTTGCAAAAAGGGATTATAATTTACTGTGTTATTTTGATAATTGAGATTAATGTAAAAGTGCTTTGAAACTATAAAGTGCTAAATAAACATAAGGGATTACCATTATAGGTTCTACCTGGATATATCAAGAGGTCTTTCTGGAATCTGATTGGAGCTTTGTGAGATGTTGTTAGGTAAAGGGATTCCTTGGTAGAATTTCTTACATTTGTGTGAAAAGTTCTGGTTCCTGAGTAATCCCAAAGATGCTGTGAGTTCACTGTGCCTTTGTTTTAATCCCAATATCTGCTGGTCAGAATATCTGCTTTCTATTCAGTAGGCTACTATAGACTTGAAGTGGATAAAGAATAGGGTCCAGTGACCTGGATAGGATCCTAGACGCTTCATTAATTTCAATCATTTGAGATTGTGGGGTATGGTCCAATGCCATTCTTGACAAGATGGTCATTCTTCAGTGTTGATAACTAAAAATCCCCTGGTCCAAATTACCATGTCTCTGAAGGCCTTAACTGAAGAAGTGAAATGCACACTCGAGGAAAAAATTGGGCCTTTGTTGCGACAATATAGTTTCAGCTACTTGGCTTAAACAGTTTGACTTCACTACTAAGGGCTGTTCTGAATCTGAGTGGAACAGGAGTGGAGGTGAAGGCCACATCATGATGGTTGAATGCCTCCTGGATCACAGTGGTCCACTGGAATAGTGTCTTCTTCAGCAGTAAGGTGAAGGAATCACCAAGGTCAAAAATCCAGGTACCAGATCTGTAGGCTGATGGAATAGTACAAGGAAGGTGGTCAGAAGGTCCAGATGAATACTCAGCAATCAGGAGGCACAGGACTGGAAGGGACAGGAACAAAACAGGTAAGATAACAAATGCATGGAATTAGAAACACAGGATTCTAACACTGGAGTGAGTGTGCTATCAGCTATCAGCTGCCTGATGGGTACTAATTCTTGATAGGACTAGCTAAGAAGCTGACAAATGATAAATGCAGAATTAAAAAAAGCTTTCTGATTAACAATTAGTGATGATAAGAACAGAAAGAGTTCTCTGGCAGGGACTGCTTCCTGACTCGAGAACAAACCGTCTCAGAGTAGCAACAAACAGGAATTGCCCTTAAGTCTCATAATTTGGGGGAGTAATTTGATTGTATTCAGCCTGCTGAGCAGTGCTTGAAGGGGGAGAAAGAAGTAGCTCAATGGGCAGCACATGAAGAATTGAATTTAAATTTATATACAAACACCGAAGGAGACCTTGTCTTTCTTACTTTTCCAATGCTTTCTTCAAATTATCCTACCACCTCATACTTTTAAAAGTTGTCTTTAACTTTCATTTTAAGAAGATTCCATCTTGTGTGGGAAAGAATAAGATACCCAGGGAATAAGGCCCTGGTATTCGCACCCTTCTGTTAATACCCTATACAATATATCAGTTTTTCTTTACATCTGAGGGCTCCCTAAATCTTTTAAATTTAGAATCAAAAAACAAAAACAAAAAATCATGAAACACAGAAAGAAATATGGCCCATAATAGTGATCTTTTTCCTAATCAAGAGTACTTAGGTTACCAAACATCTTACGGAGAATCTATTTTGATGGCCTGCTCTCTAAATTAATTCTTTCTACAAAATGCTTCATCACATGTAGCAGTATAGGTGGGCAAAGATCCTTAAGACAAAGCCTTTGCTTTCAAGGCACTTGCTATCTGGAAAAAGCAAATGCTTGCCAGGGACTTTACGAGGTATACTATGCAAAGTAGCTAAAAGGTAAACAACAACTTAATATAAAATAATGTAAATATTTAATAAAAACTTAAGAAAAAATAAAGCTAAAGAGATGCATGAAGTAGAGAACATATGACATAGATATTGAGGAAATGGCAGCATTTTGACAAGTGAAGAACCAGAGGAACACATCCCAAACTAGAGAGCAAGAACAGAAAGTGCAGAGATAGTAGGTAAGTAAAGAGTGAGGCATTTTGGAAAATATCAAGTACCGTAGTTCACTTTTGGTGGAGTGTTGCTAGAGTTTGCACAGAAGGTCTGGCAGAAACTCAGGTCTTCGAATTCCCAGTAATAGTGCTGGTGGCAGTGCTTGCTCGGTTGCTGTCTCTTCTTGAAGCAAGGTCGACAGCCCCCAAATTCAAAAACAAAAATATTCAGCTCCAGAGTTCCTGTCACATTCTGACAAGCTCTTCAAGTGGCAGGTGCAGTTCTTGAAAATCTGGAAATCTGGAGTCCATGTCATGGCTACACAGAAGAGCATCTGCTCCAGCTAGTGCAGAACACCGTAGTGAAACCTTTTCGGCCTCCTATCCTGGATATCTCACGTTTTGTCACAGAATTTCAAGCTTTGAGTTCCAGTTGTTTTTTTCCTCCTCCTTTCTCTGGAGGAAAGCATCTTATAAGATCACCACAGTCTTAAGATTCTTCTGAGGTACATCCAGATAATAACAAAAGAGCTAAAAGACCAACACGTTTTTCTCCAAAACAGTCATTTTTCTGGAAGTGAGATCATTTGTCTCTCCCCTTTACGTAAAAGGAATAGTCAATTGATTTTCTCAGACATTTGTATGGAATAGCAAAACAGGTAAACGCCTAACCAGACAAAATACACTTACATGTGTTTATGTTCACTTGCTTAGAGCTGTACCACTGGTACGCACCACCCCACAAAATGAAAATGTTTGAAATCCAACTGTTCAAACATTTCTATAGTGTTTGCTGGACAATGGCCTGGAATTTGATAAAAGCAGCTGACAATTAACAAAGAAGCATTTTGGCCATCTTAGTGACACACTTTCAAGCAAATACAATACAAAGCAGGCCAGGAAACAGTTAAGCATTGAAACACTTCCAAATCTACTGATTTTGCAGTTCAGCAGAAGTCATGACAAAACTTTCCAGAGAATGTTAACCTTCCATTAAGAAACATAAACCCCCAAACATCTTCAGGAATTCCATGCCTGATTTAGTCTGTTCCAAGTGAGCCAGCTTGCTAAAAATCCACCTGCACCATTAATTAGCTGGACTCGGCAGCACCATTTAAAAATAAGCCTGCTCACTACCAACCGCACAGACTAAGGATATAGAATATTAAGGAGTAATGGATGGCAACCTTGGTTGTGGAAAATTGTCAATGAAAGAGGAAGGTAGTCAGGTACCAGTATAAGCAGCAGAAAACCAAGAATTGCTGGCCCAAAGATTCTACAGGCTTCTTATTAGTAGAGAACACACCCATTTCTAGTTTTAGCTGCTTTATATTGGGTGCCATTGAGCCATACCAACGTGTCAGCCACCCTTCAGGCACCCCATGGTAAAAGGAAAAGACTCAGAATAGAAGCCAAGCAGTGGAGTGTTGTTACCCCAACTATCCATTATGCATAGAAACAGCTCACATATCCCAGGGATTCAAACAGGGGCTTCAAATCGGTTGTGAAGGGTCCCAAATGACATCTAGGCCTCAGTTTCCTCCCTGTGGCATAAAAGAATCATAGTTCTTAACTCTTCTGGGTCACAGCCCCCTTTGAAAACTTGCTGGCGATGGATCCTCGTTTCCCAAAAATGCACACTCCCACTATTTCTGCATACAATTCCAAGGAGTTTAGGGGGATCTCCAACTTCAATCCAAGGTTCCCAGGTTCAAATTCCAAGAACTGGGCAATTGCTAACTTTTCTTACAACTCAAAAAAACCCCGTTACAAACAATAATCATCCCTTACGTACATACCGACGCTTTATACTTTACAAAGCGCTTTCAACCCCACAAACATTGATAGGCAGAGGAGGAAACTGAGGCGCCGACAAATTACAGAGTGATTTGCCTAAGGTCACTCGGCCAGCTGGTGGCTAGGCCCGGAAGCAAACCCAGCTCTTCCGACTCCGGGGCTTGTCTCCCCACCCCGGAGCTGCCGCCAGAGCTCCCGCCCCTCACTAAGGGGGCATAAGGAGAAAAAGGCAAAGTAGAAAGCCCACCACCAACCATCCCCCGGCGCCCTCTTGCCCCCCCAACTGGGTCCTTGCAGGCCCCGAAGGGTGGCGCCAGGCCTCCAGGCCAGCCCCGGCCACCCCCGCCTCCCCGGCCGCGCCAAATCCCGCCGCCGCCGCCTCCCCGGGAGCGGGGCGGAGCAGCTGCCCGCCGCCGCCGACCACCCGGACGACTCCTCGTCGAATCGCAAACGCATAGGCCGCCGCCCGAGTTCTGCGTACGAGAAGAAAGACGCGGCGCGAGCGCCAACGGCCACCGGGCGCGCGCCGCGGCGGCCGGGCCTGCGCCCCAAGAGCTGGATGCCAGAGCAGGAGAAAGAGCCGCCAACCGATCGCTCGATCGACCGCGCGCCCGCTCCTTCGCCCTACCAGACCGGGGAGGGGGGGAGGGCGCGCCAGGGCTTCTTCGAGTTAGGGGCCTGACTCCCCAGCGACGAGACAAGATGGCTCCTCCGGTCCGCGCCGCAGCTACCGTCCCGGCTGCGTCGCTCGGCCCGCCCCCGGTACTGTTTCTTTAAATGGCGGAGAGGGTCATGAAAGCAGGAAGAGAGGCGCGCGCTCTCACGTGACAGGGGCGGGCCCGGCTAACAAGATCCGGTCACGTGGAGACCCGCTTCCCGCCAATCAGGAGGCGTCGCATCAGGGCGGGGGCGGGAAGAGCTGCGGCTCCGTGATTGGCTGAGTGCGCCGCGGAGGCCTCGGGGGCTTGGGGCGTCGGGGAGTGCGCGAGGCGGCCCGGGTTGTGTGCACTAGCGGAGACAAAGCGGTGCCCGAGGTGGCCGCGGCGGCTGCGGCAGCGGCGGCAGAGCAGCCCTAAACGCCGAATATCGTGGTGCTGAGTCCTGTCATCATCTCATCCAGCGCGGCGCGTGGGCGGCTTGTCTCGCGGCGGCGGCGGCAGCGGCGGAGGCGGAGGCAGCACATGGTTCCAAGAGCGCGCTGCGGTTGTTGGGTTCCGATTCCGTGGGGAGGGATAAAGGCAGCTTTGAGCACCGGGCAACGCCCGGTCGGGTGGTGCGCTCGCCACACTGCCCTCGACTCGAGCCTTGAAAGCTGGGACTAACTCCTCTCATGAGGAGGAGGCAGCCTCGGTACCGAGGCCCGGCAAGGGCCCGGCAGCCAGAGGCCTCTGTCTGAGGGAAGTGGGGGAGGGGCGCTGCCCACGTCAGGTGATTTGGGCGGGTCAATTCTGAGGCGTCTTTGTGGGTCAGTGTGAGGTAATTTGACCAGCGCACTACCCTGAGGGGATTGGGACGGGACCACAAGCTAGATTGGTTCTGGGCTTTGGAAACAGAAATCGCCCTCAGCGCTTAGACCTTTCAGTTGGGAGGTGGTGAAGCCGGAACTAACGCCGTATGTACTCCATCGACTTCGTAGTCCTCAGCCTGGGGCCTGTTTAAGAATCCTGGGCTCATTGGTGAAGAAAAGGGTGACTGTCCAGTTTTATGACCGAAGTTGGTAAATTTCCGGATTGCTAAATTTTCTGATCAGAAATTTAGAGGAACAAAGAAAGCTTGAAGAACTTGTGAAGATGGAGCAGTCATAAATCTTCAACTCCCAATACCGTCTACTCCAAGACCATCCACATTCGACTCCTTGAACTATCGCAACTTAATGCTAAAGCACTTTAAGACTACAGATTTATAACATAGTTTTTTCCCCCAGAATATTGCATCATAAACATTGAGAAGATTAAAAAAAGGAGGAATCAATTGTAGTTTTAGACATCTCTTTGAATGTGTTTTGGATAGGTACTAGGAAACCTTCTTTAACCGTCAGAAGCTCAGACTTACCAAACCTTTACTGGAAGGAATCCTGGGAAATCTATTACACCGTAAGGTTTTATTTCCCAGTTAGAGGGTAAAGGACTGAAGACCTCACTGCACTCATGGCTTTCACAAATTACAGCAGTCTCAATCGAGCTCAGCTAACCTTTGAATATCTGCATACAAATTCGTAAGTATCCTTTAGGTGCCCCTGAGGTCACTGCTAACTCATTCCTTGATAATACGGAGATCCTTTTCCCAGAAAATTCTGCGTTTTTACTTTTGGGGATGTATCACTGGATGAGTCTTGAGCTCTGTGTTGAAGAACTGAGATCAGTGAAATATTTGTTGCTAATCCAGAAGAATGTGATCTTCATTTGTTGGATCAAAATATATTTACTCATATGCAAATTTTAGCTTTTTTGAAGTCAATATATTGAATTGTTTCATTCGAGTGTTGGATAGGAATCCAACAAGTACTCTTTGGATCACCAGAAGTTGGACTATTCTAGAATCAACTGTTTCTCTTTAGTGACAAAAGCCAAAACAGTTGGGTAATAACAAGTCTTTTTTTTCCTAGCAAGAAAAAAAGAAGACATTTAGATGACAACTTTTGAGAAGAAATTATTAGTTTATCTTTTCAGCAACAGTTGGCTCTATCATCTAGGGAGATCTGTCCTTATGTCCAATATTTTATGTGCTAAGCAGGAAATGGCAACTTGTTTAAACCCATAATTTAAATAGCCTTACCCCAAAATGTGCAAATCACAGAACACATAACGTGTTTATGATTCTTGAGTTCATGAAGAGATTATCATTATCCCATGTTGATCGGGAATGTTTCAGGCTTAATTCTTATGCCCACTCTCTTGGAGGTGATTTGGTGGGATCATAACTACACAGTGTTTTTCACACATTCGTTTGTCACTTTTGAGATGAAGGTAAGTATTCTACCATTTTAGTGATGGAGAAGTGATGAGCAGCTACATGAATGGCCCAGAGAGCTGAAGAACTACCTTCAGGGTTGAGAATATAGACTTCAATCATCTAGTGATAGTAAAATAGTACTTAGCTTTTTATGGGAAAGAACAATATGTTAATTTGCGATGACATCTGTAATTTTTTTCTTTTTTCCAATTAAGGAAATAAAATTTTTCTGAGTAGTGAATTGCCAAACGGTGATAGCCTGCTTTTATCTTTTGTTTAGGAAGCTTATTATTGAACTAGAACGTTTTAGAGTAGATACTGTAGAGGCCATTTAGGTGAAGTCTTATGCTATGGATGATGAATCCGAAACTCAGATAAGGTTGCAGATCAGGCTTGCTTAGCTAGTTTATAACACAGTCTTGGGCAAAATCTTCACTATCCTTTTTTATATTTGGACTGCCGTGTTTAAGAACAAGCACACGAAGGCCACTTAGATGTTCTCAGGTGATTGTATTTGATAAATGGTTACTTCAGTTCTGAATTGTGGAATGAGGGGCCAAATTTGGAATGGTGGATTATATGATAATCTTGGAAGACCATGAATGGCACTTGCAAAACTGGGTGGGTTGTTCTAGCTTTCCCCAACGACTTTGATAATAAAATAATAGTTACAACCAGTTAATTGCTTCTGGCCATCACTTTTAAACATGTGTAAAGTAATCTTTATAATAACCTTGCTAGAGTAAGGATTCTTCCTGTTTTACATTTGTGGAAACAGGCTCAAATTGAGTAACATGCCAAAACACACCTGCTAAGTGGCAGATTTAAGGCAATAGGATTTATTTGACCACAGTGGTTAGTGTCTTTAACCATTATTAGGCAGTCAGTGCTAACTCTAGTCAGTTTTGCCTTAAGGGCTTGTTTTGCTTCAAGGAAAGGGTTTACTTTCTACTTGGAAAGTCTGTTCAGTTTATCTCAAAAACCTTTAATTTGAGGTTCTGGAATATTGTTTCTTTTGCTATCTTATAACTTAATAGGTGAGCAGAACTAAGGTAAAGAATCAAGCTCTAGTTAAGTCATTTGTTTAAAGTGAAATTGGAGAGTTTGTGAATTTGACTTACCCATATTGAGTTGGAACCACCTTCTTGCATGAACATTTGCGGGTTGGATGTATCATTTGGAAGCTCTAGATTTTCTAATCTGGATCACAGCTTTGAAGTTGTCTACTTTTGGATGTGTCCAAACCTACCAGGAGAAAATACAAACCCTAGAATACTAAGATAAGTTAGTTTATAATCAATTTCAAGGTTTATCAAGGTGATATGATGAAATTCATTTCTAGAGGAAACACGTTTTTAAATTTTCATAAGCTGTGACTTATTTACTCCTAGTGATGGTGGATGGATCCTCATTTTGTTAAGTGATGGTGTCACCTTTAGAAATGAGAAAATTTGGGATCCCTGGGTGGCGCAGAGGTTTGGCGCCTGCCTTTGGCCCAGGGCGCGATCCTGGAGACCCCCGATCGAATCCCACGTCAGACTCCCGGTGCAAGGAGCCTGCTTCTTCCTCTGCCTGTGTCTCTGCCTCTCTCTCTCTCTCTCTCTCTCTCTCTCTCTCTATCATAAATAAATAAATAAATTAAAAAAAAAGAAATGAGAAAATTTGTCTATAGTTCCTTTTCCTTTGTTCTAGTTTTTAAAATGTAAGACCATAATAGGGTGTCTGATATCTACAGTATTGCCATATTGTGAGTTATGAAAAGTATGGCCCTTTGCTTACCTCCCATGTGATTTGGACTTGCAGGCTGAACCCAGGCAGGCTAGAAGGATAGAAATCAGTGTGGTGCAATGAATAGAGGATGCATGGGCTTGGGAGCCAGCCAAGCTTGGATTTGCCTGTTTCCTGGCTGAGTCTTTGGGCAGGCTGAGCCTCAGTTTCTTCATCTATAAAAGGGGGCTAATCTGAAAGACGATTATGTAAAATATAATGTTTATAAAGTAATTATAGCTCATGCATGGTACACTGTAAACATTGAATAGATGGTGCTTATTGTTTATTCATTGCATGATAATTTATATAAACCAGAAGTTGGCCAGAGTAGGAGTTTGCTCTATGGTGGTAGTCATTAGGTAGATTACATTCTTGGTAAATTCTGGAGCATTTGTTGGAGACAGTAAACATCTGTCCTGAGGGTCGTTTTGTTGTTGTTGGTTTTGGTATGATGTCTGTGGTAACTGATGATGGTTATTTTGGTTACATCAGTGTTAAGATTTAAAGCAGGCCTGAGAAATTCTCATGATAGTGTGAAAGTTTTAGGGTACTTTCTTTTAATGCGGGATGTTGCTAGTATGAAATGATAAAAGGATTTTTAAATAAAAGGAGTTTTATGCTGTTACTGCTCTTTAGTGGTGGGTTTTGTGACTACTAGTAAAAAGTTGATGAGCAATATAGGTGCTACATTCCAGATATAGTGGTGGTAGTGATGTTCCTTTGTGATAAGATGCATAGCTTACATCACTGCAGTACTGCTAAGTTGTCTGATAGGGCAGGATGTTTAAGTATAAGATGCCTTCTCTCTGTGTCTCTTCCTGTTGGCACATTTAATTATCTTGGCAATATGATACTTTTGGCTTGTTTTATCTATATATGTAGTGAATATAGAGGCACCTGTCACCTTTAGAGACAATATTTTTGGGGACTTAAAATTGTGTTGAAATGTGGGTTTACACTCTAAGTATATTAAAGCCATTTGAATGTAGAATGGATGCTCTTGTTTCTCAGCTTTATTTTCTAGCAATTAAGGCAATTGACTTGTCAATATTGCCAAGAACACAGCAGAAGCTGTCACTGTGTGATGGACTTGTGAATAATCTATTGGTTTAAATTCAGATTGAATATAAATAGGAACACCATTTTCCTTAGGTAATGAGTAGATTTACTCATGAATTTGTCACTGGAAATGCTGAGCTGCAAAACTATTTTGATCATGGCACAAATGATATAAAAGCCAATTGAAAGTGAGTTTGCTAAAAATCTGTCTTTTTCCAGATGGTTGGCCTTTCTTGGATAATGTGCAAAGAATCTTTACATCTGGGAAAATAATTTTCTTTTGATATTTATTCAAATACCTGTTTCAAATGCTAGCAAGCAATGAATGTCTCTTTGAATATTATTTAAGAAAAGGGAGAGAAATTATGTCTTTGATATATTTTTTGTTAAGATTTTTTGTTGTTCTTAAGACTTTTTTTTTAAGATTTATATTTATTTATTCCAGAGAGAGAGAGAGAGAGAGAAAGAGAGGGGCAGAGATGCAGAGACACAGGCAGAGGGAGAAGCAGGCCCCGTGCATGGAGCCTGACGTGGGACTCGATCCCGCGTCTCCAGGACTACGCCAGGGCTGAAGGCGGCGCCAAACCGCCCAGCCACCCGGGCTGCCCGTGTTCTTAAGATTTTAAGAAATATTTAGAACTCTGACTTTGTTAGTAGGACCCATCAATTGGTTGAAGGTCTGGAGAAGATTATGCATATTGACTCTGACCTTCCCAACCCTTGTCACAAAAGATCCCTTTTATGACGTGTCAGTACACATCACAAAAGTATCCCTTAACTATATTTTCTTTTTTTTTTTAAATTTTTATTTATTTATGATAGTCACACAGAGAGAGAGGGGGGGGGAGAGACACAGGCAGAGGGAGAAGCAGGCTCCATGCACCGGGAGCCCGACGTGGGATTCGATCCCGGGTCTCCAGGATCACTCCCTGGGCCAAAGGCAGGCGCCAAACCGCTGCGCCACCCAGGGATCCCCCTTAACTATATTTTCAAGATATCTGTTAACATATCTGAAATATGTTTGTGTGGAACAGCATTGATACTATGTGGAACAACGAAGGCCATTTGGAATGTTTTCTTTAAATTCTGATTTTACAAGGCAATATTTTTAAGTATTGTATAGAAAGCAGTGAAAACTTAGCCAGAGATCTTTGTGCTTGCCCTTTTGAGATCTTACTGAATTCTGAATGTCTCTGATTTTCATGTGAAGCAGTCAGATATACATGTTGCTGAGAAGCAGTTGCCACTTTTATTTGATTTCTTGGCCTGATGGCAAAGGATTTCAGAATTAGTTTTCTTTTTTTTTTTTAATTTTAAATTTTTATTTATTTATGATAGTCACAGAGAGAGAGAGAGAGAGCAGAGACACAGGCAGAGGGAGAAGCAGGCTCCATGCACCGGAAGCCCGATGTGGGATTCGATCCCGGGTCTCCAGGATCACGCCCTGGGCCAAAGGCAGGCGCCAAACCGCTGCGCCACCCAGAGATCCCGAGAATTAGTTTTCAAGATTATTCATATTCACTATTCTCACCACCAAAGGCCAATACTTCATTCTTAAACATATTTATTCCAAAGATTGCTGCATACAAGCTGTAGTCCCATTCTTATTATGGTAGTATTCTTTTTGTTGTTACAGGAGCTGTATTTGAGTTTCCTTGACTATAGTTAAAATACAGGCTCTTATTGGAATGAGAACTATTATAATAGAATTTGTTGTTTTATATTTTTAAATAATCTTCAAAATTAAAAGCCTAGAGTATAGAAAACTAATTCATTTTTTAAGTTTCTTTCTTTTTCTTTCTTTTTTTTTTTTTTAAAGATTTATTCATGATAGACACAGAGAGAGAGAGAGAGAGAGAGGCAGAGACACAGGCAGAAGCAGGCCCCATGCCGGGAGCCCGACGTGGGACTCTCTCCCAGGTCTCCAAGATAACGCCCTGGGCCAAAGGCAGTCACCAAACCGCTGAGCCACCCAGGGATCCCCAAGTTTATTTTTTTTAACAAAAGATTTAATTTATTCATGAGAGACACAGAGAGGCAGAGACATAGGCAGAGGGAGAAGCAGGCTCCATGTAGGAAGCCCCATGTGGGATTTGATCCCAGGACCCCAGGGTCATAACCTGGTGGAAGGCAGGTGCTAAACTGCTGAGCCACCCAGGCATCCCCAATTTTTAAGTTTCTAAGCCACTTCTAAGGAAAATGACTGGTTGAAAGCTTGAGTAAATGTTAGATTTAATTTATATTACCTTTACCAAATTATCCTAATTTTCTAACATTTCAACCTATTTCTTTAGCGTAGTAATCTACAGAATACTTGCTTCTTTAATTGATAATTTGAAGAATTTAAGATGATTATAGACTTAAATTTTTCAATTAAAAATATGTTTTATGCAGGTTTTTCCTTTAAAAAATTGTTTTTCTTTTCAGTAATAATAAGGATTGGAGTTTGGTCAGAAGAATTTGAGAGCTCTGTTTTCTAGGCAAACTGGAGATAAATTTCTACTTTTTGCTAAGACATATTTATTGGTGCTGCCTTTGGATTAGCAGCAGATAGTCACTGATCTCATGGGAAAAGTTCTTCCTAAAATTCCAAGAATTTTTTTTCAATAACTAGTAGTTTTATTTTTTTATTTTTTTTATTTTTTAAATTTTTATTTATTTATGATAGTCACACAGAGAGAGAGGCAGAGACATAGGCAGAGGGAGAAGCAGGCTCCAGGCACCGGGAGCCCGACATGGGATTCGATCCCGAGTCTCCAGGATTGCGCCCCGGGCCAAAGGCAGGCGCCAAACCTCTGCGCCACCCAGGGATCCCAGTAACTAGTAGTTTTAATTCAAAATTTGCAATTGTAAAAATTTGTAGGTTTACTTAAGGAGGGAAAACCAGGGTTCCTGGACAGTTCAATTTTGGATGCTTATTCTATAAGCAAATATTTTACAGGTTTGTTTTTTGTTTTACATGATTTAATAAGTGATCAGAGATCCTAGACACTGGTTAGTTAATTTTAGTATATTCTAAATTTTTAGACATTTTCACTTTGTCTATTGGCTGAAATGGTATGTGAAAAAATCAGTGGGAATAATTTATTTTTGAAAAATTGATGATGGTAATGTATTATTTAGGTAAATGATTTTATGTTTTGAATCATTTCAAGGTTTTTCTAGGTGGACACATTGTACGTTTATATCTAAAGAGGACTATTATGGGAAATAGCACAGATTAAAGAGAATGTAAATGGAGAAAGAATTTAAGGATACATTTTATGTATAAATATCATATTTGTTGAGTTCTGAAAAATATAATTATGTATTTACCTAACCCAACTTTGAGCATTGTCTTGGAAAAGAGATGACCTCCTTAAAGGGCTAATGGACACTAGGAAGAACACACCAAGCTGTTGTCCTTCTAAGAGGAATTGTACAAGAGGGTCTTGGATCCTTTAATGTGAAGGAAGTTGTTTTTAGCTAGAAGTGAAATGTCAGAGAATAGATTATTCTCTCTTCCCTTTCAAATGGAGTATTTTGCTTATAAAATGCCCAGAAACAAATGGGTTTTCTTCTTTCACCAATAGATAATATGCAAGCATTGGTAAAACAAAATGTTAGCAAATTGTCCATTGAGCATGCTTAGAGATATGCAGAAACTGACGGCTGGTTAAGACAGTGAAAAATAAAATACAGATATTTTTCTAGGCAGAACATGAGTAGTGAAAAAAAACTGCTTTTAAATCAGTAGTACACATAGGAATCTTACTGCTTCAGAGTGAGTTTCTTAACATAGAGCGAATAAACATGAGTAGATAGCAGGACTTGGTTAACATTTGAGGGGGTTTAGCAGGTTCTTAAAAGGCTCTAATTTTCGGGAAGTTTAAATTTGATTAGTGTATATTGATAGTGCAAATGACAATTTTAGGTTTTTTTTCCTAAAAACATTTTATAAGCTTGACTTATTAGGTATCAGTTCAATTCTGTGATTCTGCTGATTCTTCGTATTTATCATTTCAGAACTACTCATGAATTCTTATTTGGTGCTCTTGCTGAACTGGTTGATAATGCAAGGTATGTAGTCTTTTTTTTTTTTTTATTTAAGATTTTATTTATTTATTCATGAGAGACACACAGAGAGAGAGGCGGAGACATAAGCAGGCTCTATGCAGGGAGCCCAATCCTGGGAGTCCAGGATCACGCCCTGGGCCAAAGGCAGGTGCTAAACCGCTGGGCCACCCAGGGATCCCAAGGTATGTAGTCTTTAAGCTTACAGTCTCTGCCTGAAAACTTTTTGGGTTGTTGTGACCTTTGCTTTCTGAAGGTGTGGGAGGAAGACAATTTTGTAGCAGTTTTAATTCACTCCTAAGAACTCCTAAGAGGTCTCTTACCCCAAAAGTATTTTTAATAGCATGTTAGTTGGTACTTTCAGTTTACTTGATTAACTTTAATTCATTTATTGCCTTTCTAAAAATAGTGAACTTATGACCTCCAAAGTTATCTTCCATTGTGTATTAGAGCAAGATAATTGGGCGCTGGGATGGCTCAGTGGTTGAGCATCTGTCTTTGGCTCAGGTCGTGATCCCGGGGTCCTGGGATCAGGTTCTGCATCAGGCTCCCTGCTGGGGGGAGTTAAGATAGAAACTTTGGAATCAAGTTAATGTGATAGCTAAGATCTAATTTGAGTTATCAGAACAGTACACCATCTAAAGTCTTTAAAATTATGCCAGAGTTCTGTGTGTTTTTAAAACGTATATTGTCAGATGACTGATCAGAGTGTCTTCTATTGTTAGCAGCTGTGCTTGAAGAAATTCTTTAGCATTGTGTTACACTGAGTTCTTAGTGATGGAAGCCTATAACTGTTACTGTGCAATACTGGAAACAACTTTGGGTTGGCTCAAAGATAAATAGCAACAACCAAATCAAGATTCTGTTAATAATTATGAAAATGTTATCTCAGTTTTGTTTCTGAATGCAAACATAAAATTCAGACACATTGCTATTGACCCGGTGTTGATGACTGATGAAGGAAGAGGGTAAGAGATAAATAAGTACTTTTTTGTAGAAGTACTTTCTAAATAGATCCCCAGTTAATGAGCTTGCTATTTTTTTCTGTATTTATGCCTATACTATAATCCTGTACCATTATTACTTTTATTGTTATTCCATGGAATAACACAGAAGTGTGCTTATTAACAAGTTGTTTAACCAGAAAACTTCCATTTTTGTTTTAATGATGGTTGACACATAACTTTTGTATTCTATTTAAATTTTTAAAAAAGATTTTATTTATTTGAGAGAGAGCTAGAGTGAGAGAGCACAAGCAGAGATAGTTGCAGAGGGAGAGGGAGAATAAAGCTCCCCACTGAGCAGGGAGTCTGATGTGGGGCTCAATCCCGGGACCCTGAGATCATGACCTGAGTCAGAGGTGGACACTTAACCCACTGAGCCACCCAGGTGTCCCTGTATTCAATTTAAAAATGGTGTAGCCTAATGGAACTATGTTTGAATTTGTTAGCTTGTTAGCTTAGTGAGACCATGGTGTGCTTTGTCACTTGTTAACTTAGTGAGACCATGGTATGCTATGGCAGACTGCCTTTTTGTCTATCATGTGGTGAACTGGAGATTCCTGAAGTATGTGTTCCTGGTCATGCACACATTTTGCCCCTCTTTCTCATATTTGAAACTGTTTTTATGTTTTGGGGAATAGATACATGTAGAACTGTATGGATTTTTTTACATTTAAAACTGATGAAACACTCCGTGCCTCATTTTCCTTGCCTGCAGTTAGGAGAATTGGACTAGATTACTTTCAAGCTTTTATTGATGACTGAACTTGTATTTCAGCTGGTGGTTGGAGTCTAATATAGTGCGCCAACCTCCTTTCTAGGTTAGGGAGGATAAGATTACAAGCTTGTGAATTAGTCTGCTGACTATAGTGTATACTATGAGACGTGATTTTTCATAGGCTTTGTGGCAGATGGTTTTTTTTCTTTGTTCTCAGTATCTTACACAAAAGAAAAATGGAAAGGCTATTGGAACATTTTCTATGTTTGCTATCAAATTATGAGAGAAACACAGTTGTAATTTTTTAGTACGTAAGAGGGAATGTTCTCCCTTATTCTATAGATATTGTTACTGTGAAATCCATATTAAAATATCTAGGCCCTAGGGATCCCTGGGTGGCACAGCGGTTTGGCGCTTGCCTTTGGCCCAGGGTGCCATCCTGGAGACCCAGGATCGAATCCCACATCAGGCTCCCGGTGCATGGAGCCTGCTTCTCCCTCTGCCTATGTCTCTGCCTCTCTCTCTTTCTCTCTCTCTGTGACTATCATAAATAAATAAAAATTTTAAAAAAATAAAATAAGATGTCTAGGCCCTATGTGTCGTGTGGTTATTTTAAATAATTTAGAGCTTCACACAGAGGGAAATATATTTCACACATAAGGAAAATAGGGTTGTCAAGTGGGAGAGTACTTTAATGGATACAGAATTTCTGTATGACTTTCTAAAAATAAACTCAAAATAGTATGCATCATACTTAAAATACTATGCATTTTGATGTTTGATATTTTCAGTATTTATATGAATATTTATATTCATTTGGATCTTGATTTTTTTCCTTTTAATTTTGCAGAGATGCTGATGCAACCAGAATAGATATTTACGCTGGTAAGTCAGACATCAGTACTTTCTTCTAATGTTCAGTTCCTTTGAATGCATTTATTGCTATGTCTAAGAAGAAATGCCTAAGAGCCTGGGGAGAGATGGCATGATTACTCCAGGTCATAGGTAGAAGCAGGGCAGCCCTGGTCAGGCATGTAGTAGAAACCAAGAATATTGGTCTAAGGAAACTCACACATGGTGCCCAGATCTATAGATATATTTATTTTCTTAAAAGAGATTTTACTTACTTGAGAGAGAGAAAGAGTTAGCGACATAGTGAGAGAGGGAGGGAGAGGGAGAAGCAGACTCCTTGCTGAGTACGGAGCCAGATGTAGGGCTCCATCCCAGGACCCTGAGATCATGACCTGAGCCAAAAGCCCCCCTGACTTAGCTGACTGAGCCCACCCCCTCTCCGGGTGCCCCTATATCTATTTATATAGCCACTGAAAGTTTAATGGGATGGTAGAGTAGTGGGGCGGGAAGTGACCAAGTACTGGTGATTTTACTGGTTAGATTACTGATTGGTTGATTTTACTGGTCCCTGCAGCCAAAGAGAGAACTTGTTAGAGGCCATTTTCTCTCTAAAATCTCAGTGAGGACTTGGAGAGTTGCCTGTGTCAGTTGCATAAAATAGTTGGGTTAACTGGGTAGGCACTGGGGTTTTACTGAGGGAGATGTTCTCAGGCAGAGGTGTCAGGTGGGAAGGACAGCTGCTTTGCTTGGAATTGAAAGACTTTTTTTTTTTTTTTGAAAGACTTTTTTAAAAGATTTTGAGAGCAAGTGAGTGCATGAGCAGGGGGAGGGGCAGAGGGAGAGGGACAAGCAGACTTCCTGCCAAGCAGGGAGCCTGATCTGGGCATGATCCCAGGACCCCCAGATCATGACCCAAGGCGAAGTCAGATGCTCAGTTGACTGAATGACCAAGGCACCCTGGAATTTAAAAATATTAATGATGTCTACTGTTTTGCTTATTTAATTGGCTCTGCTATTTGGTAGTAAGTTTCTCTTTTTTTTCTGGAGTGGGTACAACAGTGGAAGAATTCTTAGTCATCATTTGCTTTTTTAAAATTTTAAATTATTATTTTTAGTTTGCTTTCTAGCTACCTGTTCAGTGTTTGTACCAGCATGTTTTTGGTAATTTGAATGCTAGAAATTTGGAAGCAAAATAGAGGAAGGTGGCTTTTAAATCCAGTTTGACTGCATATAATGTTTCTCTGACAAACTTTTCTGAAGTCTTGAGTAACACTCACTAACTTATGAGAAGACTTAAAGTGTTTTTGTGAGAATATGCAGTTATCAAATAACCCCTCCTTGTGGATTCATTTGATAAATGGGAAAAAGCACACAACTAAGAAATAATTTTCAGAACCTCCTATATGATAAATTTTTCATGTCTGAATTACTTTAGAGCAAGAAAATAATTCAGAACAGCTAAAAGTCGCTGTACTGCTTAAATTCTGAAAGCCGCCTGCTCAAAAGGCTATGCCAAAGTGGTGAAAATAAGACTTATTTTTAGAATAAAGGAACAAAGTAAATATCAGGTGTTAGGAATGCATCTCAGAGGCACAGCAGAAGAGTGTTAGAAAATGGTTACTTAAACCCTGAGGCCAAATGGAGGCACCATTCCCAAGTCACAGTGTGTATCTTACATCTTAAGTGTGCTTTAATGAGGAGCAATTAAAGCTACTTTTGAAAGAAATGTTGTTTTAATCGTTGCACAGATGGTAAAGCAGAGAATGGGCATCTACTCCAAGTGATATTGAAAGGACAAATCATCATAGCTGAGTCTATTTGAAAAAAGCATTTTAAACACATCATCTCTGTCTCCTCCTACCACCTTTGGTGGTGAATTTCATGAAGAAAATTTAATCCTTTACACGTAGATTGCAACAGAATGGATTTCAATTTAAATGAAAAAGGCCCACTGTGTATTTATTCTGTGCTCAGTGTTCTTACTCCTATTGTGCTTTGGGAAGAGTCCAGAGGGATGCGATGGAGCCTTTTTTAAGTTCTCATAAGAGAACTTAAGTCTTTAATTGGAGAGGCAGCACTGTGTAGATGATTAGAGAACAATAACTTGATCTTGAGGGAACTGTCAAGGCAGTTAAGGATTAAATGGTGTGATAGAAGTACTAAGCACTATCGCATTTTAGAGGAAGACTTGATTTACTCCAAATACCTCAAGATTGGGAGTCTTGGGTGAAATGTCCTTAACTTTACACTTTTCTACCTCAGAGTTTAATTAACACATTCAACAGGAGGAATAAAAGCAACCTCAATTTATGAGTGCAATAGTAGAATTAGTAATACCTGGTACCATAAAGTTCTTACTGTCAGTACACCGGGGAAAGTGTTTTCTTGTCTTCCATTCTGAGACTAGATTGATAATGAATGAGCTTGGAAATCCCCTTAAATATCAGATTGTTTGAATTCCCTAAAAAGTCATTTTTTAAAAGATCGTATTTAAACCTAAGAAGAGTGACAAAGGAACCAGACTCTTGAAGTACAGAGGTGTTCATTTACCCAAAGCATTCCTATTAGATGGGGCCAGACAATAATGTGCCTGTCAGAAGTAGATTCAGTATTTTTATTGACTCTCTTGACTTCCTTAAATAGGTAGTGCAACTACTCAAAGAAAGATCTCCTTTGTGATGCTAAACCATGGTTAGTAAGTGGGAAATTAGAGCACTGAAATAAATACTACCCAGATTTCAAAAGAATAATGAAGAACTTGGATGTCATTTTTTTTTTTAAGATTTTATTTATTTCTTCATGAGAGACACACAGAGAAGCAGAGAGAGAAGCAGGCTCCCTGCAAGGAACTCGACGCGGGACTTGATCCTGGGTCTCCAGAATTAGGCCCTGGGCTGAAGGTGGCGCTAAACCACTGAGCCACCTGGGCTGCCCTTGGATGTCATTTTATTATAACTTCTGCTAAGGACATTATTTTATCATCTCTTTTATTATCTCCATTTTACATTTCTTCTTCTTTTTCCTGTCTTTTCCCCGGTGGGAGTTGGATGATGGGAAGTCAGGCTAATTTGGATAAGCCAGACTTAGCCATATTGAGGGGAGCTTAGATATGCATCCTTCCAAACTCATTCTGATAATCTTACATAGCTGCTACCAGGATCTGAAGCACAACTGTAAAGAAGGCAGTTTGGCTTTTCTCTCCCTGTCTTGCTTCCAAAGATGTACGATGGGGATGGGAGTGGGACCATACAACTCGCAGCTGGTTAGTCTCCTATCTCTAGAACTCCCCCCTCCTTCATCAGAATCCTTTGCTTGGAGGCTTCAGATAACACTCAATTGATCAAAGCAAGTATCAGGTGTTAGGAATACATCTGTAATTGGTGAAATGTCTGGGAAGATAGTTTTGAGCAGGAAAGCCTTCTAGTTCTTGTTTCTCTAGCTCAGTGCTTCTCAAAGAGTGGTCCATTGATGGATAACATCAGCATCACGTGGGAGCTTGTTAAAAATGCAAATCCTTAGGTACCTCCTCAGACCCACACAGACTTTCCAGGGTGGAGCCCAGAATCTGGGTTCTTTAGCTGATTCTTATACACACTACATTTTGCTCTAGCTGTTACACTTACTCGTCTGATTGAACCCTTCTGCTTAACTGATTTGCTTCAGAGAGTAGCATCTATAGGACCATAAGCTCCATGAGGGCAGTGATCATATCTGCATTGTTTATCTTGTCTTCATCACAGAGCCAGGCACAGAGGAAGTGCTCAGTAAATAATCATTGAATAAATGAGTGATTGGTAGAATAAGCATAGTAACAGGGGATGATGCCGCATTGCTTATATACAAACTGACTGCTGTGCCAGCTGGTCTCTCTTGACCCTGAGGCAGTGTTGCATATGATCCTGTGGACTCGGGTACTATGAGCTGCTTACAGGCTTGTTGATCACTATGTGGCCAGGAGGATCCTTTATCGGTGGATCTCTTACCTTTGTAAACCATATGAAAAATCTTTAAATGAAGTCCTTGAACAAGAAAGGGATCTTAGACCCACTGTTAAGTAATGATTATGTGTTAAGACAGCCTGCAGATCCTGTTCTAAGAAACTCAAGGGCCTAAAAGTAACTTCCTATATGATGTTCAAGAAATGCCAGTGATCCTTGAGGACTTTTCAGATGCAGTTGACTTGAACCAATTTCTGGATCCCAAAGCAGAATCTACATGTATGTTTATGGCTGAAGTGTAAAACAGATGGCTCTTGGCTAGATTTCTTTTACCATGCTCTGTATCTGACCTAGTTTGAGTCTCCATGTGATATTTTGCTTCCTCCAGAAGGAAACTTTGAAGGCTTTTTGCACTTTTATTGCACTTGTTCCTGCTTACCAGATTTCCACACTGATAGAAGGCACTTCCAAAAGGAGAAATTTTCTTAGCTACCGATAGTATTTACAGGAAGGTCTTTGCTCTTGAACTTTCAAGAAGCACTTACTATTAATGTTTCAGCAAAGTCTGCTTCCTCAACACTTAATGATACTTGAAAATCTGTGGTTTATAGTACTTTTGAAATACATTTTAAATTACACTAGTCCATTTGTTAGAAGGTGGTGATGACTCACTTGAATCTTTAGCCCAAGGGGAGGACAAAGAGTATTTTAAACAGATTCTTCAGCTTAGATAGTTGTATAAAGTTGGTGAACTTCAGCTTGCAGGGGACAAAAAAGTACTCAGGAACTAGGCTCCAAAGCAGACTCAAACTTGTTTCTGTAGTGCCTTATATAGATCTTCCTTTTGGTAGAAGTCCTCTCCTGATTCCGCATCCTGTGCTGTTCCTCCTTTACCAACATGATCCTCATCATTGGTCATAGGCACCTTGGGAATTCCAGTATGGCCCTCTTCCCTATTTGAGCATCTCTTTCTTAAGTGTTTGTGACATGCTTAGACCCAGACTACTTTGAGTAACCACCTGCTGCTGCAGAAGACAGTCCTGAAAGAAGAGTTTGTTCCTCCACCCACTAAAATGGCAGCCAGTTTGTTTTGTTCCTTTCCTGTCGACCAGGAAGCCCTATCATGGCTGCACTATCAAAGGATTTAATCCTCTTGTCAAAAGACTGTTCCTCTTTCCAGTCAAGCAAGTCCAACTGGGAAGTGGGTAGCTCTCACTGCACCTTGTGCCATCTCATTCTTAGGTTGGGGGGCCATTTCAAGGACTGATCAAGCAGAGGAGGTAGCAGTGAATACAGATAGCTCAGAAACTCGAGTTAGCTTGGGGATAGTCATACACAGACTTACCAGTTCATCTGGATGGTAGCTGACACCCTTAGCCTGTAGTATGTCTGACATGATCACATTGTTTGAAGGCTACCCCAAACTTAACTCACAAAGGACTTGCCCTGTTGATTTGAGCAGTGTTGATAAGGACAGTGTAATACTTGGAGAATTTTAGTGGCATCGGGCCCACAGCAGAGGGCAGAGATGGGAATAATCCAGGTGGAGAGAGGCAGAAGGATGATTGAAGTTTGCCTGAAATACATGCATATTCAGAGGCTCCTGGGTGGCTCAGTTAAGTGTCTGCATTTGGCTCAGGTCATGACCCTCAGGGTCCTGGAATCAAGCCCCACGTCAGGCTTGTCAGCTTCACTACCGCCCCCCCCTCCTGAACACACTTGTGTGCACACTGTCAAATAACATTTTTAAAAAGAAAAAAGAAATACATGCATATTCAGCGGTCCTAGGTGTGGTTAGTCTAGTGGACCAAGTATTTCTTTGATAGTAAGGGCCCTGACATTTACCAGCTAGGGCTATTAGAAGGAAGAGCTAGGTTTGTCCTAATCTCTTTGGACCCAGATGTTAAATTGATCCACCTTCTTCTGACCTTACCCATGTTGCTACCCTCTGGTAGGTAACTTCGCGGTAATAGCAACTGCTTCTTTTACAGAAAGGCGAGAGGACCTTCGAGGAGGATTTATGCTCTGCTTTTTGGATGATGGAGCAGGAATGGATCCAAGTAAGTAATGTGATGATTACTGCTTTTGGGGGAGGATGTAACTCTTTTTCCTGAATACTCATTGTGTTGTTTTTCTGTTGCCTTACCGTTGTGACTAGAAGATCCACCTGGAGAGAGAGAGATGTCTGTTGCAACATCTCAGGCTTAATTCCACTAATGGATTTGCCAGGTCTTGTCCTAGTATAGTAGATAGTATATGAATGGCAACCCAAAGTCAGTCAGATTACCTGTTTCTTGACATGGTTGCACAACATCCTGGAGCTGGAACTACAGAGGCCTCCCTCAGCCTTTATACCATGTTCTGGTAACAAGAAAGTCATAGTGATAGGCGGTACTGACAGGCCGGTCAGAGGTTGCTTCCCTTTGCCTCATGGTCGTGAATTTCCTTGGAAAGTGATTTTAGTAGACACGCAGCCCTGCTTAGATTTAACAAGGCTCAGACCTTTGAGTTGTGAGGATCCTGGGGAAGAAATGCAAATACTTCACTTTCTTTTGTGCCTGCCACTTTAGGTGATGCTGCCAGTGTGATCCAGTTTGGGAAGTCAGCCAAGCGAACACCTGAGTCCACCCAGATTGGGCAGTATGGGAATGGATTAAAATCGTAAGTATACTAGAAGCCTATCATAGGACTCAATACAAAATCAAGCATGCTCTCCTGCTGCTGTACAATGGAAATTTTTCTATTCCTTATCCTTTAGTCAGTATAACTCTGAAACATAAGAAAAATCAGAAAGAAGTGGTAGTTTGGGGACTTAGTAACTGTTGTTTAGCCAAGTTTTCCTTACAGATTGGAAGTATGAACAGCCTAAACCATTTGGGGTGAGAGAAACAAGTTGTAGGTTTCTCTTGGCAATGTGCTCTGGAACCACATCTCTCCTCCTGATGAAAATTCTTACTTTTACCCCATGGTTTCAGGATGCAAGTGGTTGTTTTGCAGGGTTAGAAGTATCTGAGATGGTAGAGAAATTGCTTCATGGCACAGCAGTGTTCCCAGCAGTGTTCCCTGAGCACCTGTCACATGTCATGTTTTGAGCCTAGGCACTGGGGGATCCAGGGTGAGTAAGAGAGATCTGAACCCTCCCTCTCAGAGGACATGATCTCTCCTCCTGTGTCCTGCTAGACCCAGTAGCAGGGACTTACCTAATGTCTTCAGATCCCTTGGGTCTTTCTCAACCCTTGGTTCCCACTTGTTTGGTGTTTGGAATGTGTTGTTCTGATTTTGAGTGAAGCCCCAAGAGAAAGGTTTCTATTTCTGAAATGCTCACTTCCAGCTGTACATACCTTTGGATGGAATAAGATTTAGTGGAATTGGAGTTTGTACAAATGGAATTCTGAGTCCCGTTTCCAGTAAACGTGTTGTTTTGAGAGAGGGTGGTGCTTTGGTCAGTCAACAATCAGTTGTGTCTCATATGCAGCGTGCTTTGGATGTGTAGCAGTGAAAGAGTGTGCTTTCAAAGACATTAGGGACATGGTACCTGGACTTTTTAATTGGTCTTTCAGGGGAGAAACCAAATGGTAATAACAAGTACTTACCACGTGCCAGGCACTATGCTAAAAATTTTACTTGGATGATTTCATTTAATCCTTTTATTCTCATTTTCCAATGAGGAAATTGAGGTTTATGGGGATGAAGTGATTTGCCTAGAGCTATAAAAATATTTGCCCGAGTGTAGAGCTGAGATACGAACCAGGTCTTTCTACTGCAAAGCTGGAGCTGTTGTCCATCTCACTTCAGTCCTATTAAATTAAATTCCAAATCTCAGCCACTTAATTATTTCTCTGAGCCTCAACTTCCTCCTTTGTAAATTGGGAGTGTAATACATGCCAGGTAAGTTAAGGATTAAATGCTCCCATTATTGTGAGAGCCTTAGACAAGTTTCTGGATTGTTTTATTTCTCCTTTGATCTCACCATTCAGTTTCCTGGCCTGATTCACTAGATCTAGGGTAGGGCCTAGGAGTCTATGGATTCTGGTGATTCTGGGGCTAGTGCCCTAAATCCCCAATAACAGGTCTCTTAGAGTCAGTGTGAAAGATGAAGCCCCAATTTATCTGGATTGTAGGCCAGCCTCCTTCTACCTGGTCTTAGCAGTTCTGTGGCCTCAGGCAAGCTATTTCATGTCTCTGAATATCTGTTTTCTAATCTAGAAAATGGGGTCCTATTCTCTGACATTCTCTATTACAGAGCAAGTTTGAGGAGCAAACAAAATGTGACTCTGACCATGCTTAGAAGACCGGGAAGTTGAGTGTTGTCATTAGCGTATTTTAGTAGAATGAGTTTTGTAAAGAACTCATTGAGTTGGAGCCATCTAGTGTTGAAAGTGTATTTATTTTGAAACCAATTCAGAAGTTGAAAAGTTTCAGGAGGGAGTGATTTGTGGTGAGAATAGGGCTGAGAAGCAATGAAACCAGCAGAGAGGTGGCATTTTTGGGGTTGTTGCTCTTCAGCCTCCCAGGTCAGGATCAAAGAGGGAAGAAAGAAGCACAAAGTGAGAGTTTTTGCCAAATTCGGGCAAGAGCAAGCTTTGACAGAAAACAAGGTAATGTGCCTCATTTTGCTATCCATAAGCTTCAGAGAAGAAGGAGGAGGGCTGTGAAATCTGTCAGAAGGAGTGTTGCCAGCATCTTTGGAACTGGAGGAGGAGAAAGAGAACTTGGCAGCCCCCAGGGTGTCTCTGGATAGTGTCCTGGGCGTTTTCCTGAGCATTTGGGGAAATGGGACATGGCATTCATTTATGTGTTTGGCTTGCCAACCTGGTTTGTATTCGTACATAGAAGAGAGTAATGAGGCTTCCCACTGCCATCCCCTCCCTGGGGTATTATGAAGGCTAATGAGATAACAACCATAAAGCCCCAGAAGCTTCTCAGAAGAAAGGAGTTAAACAGCCCTATTGTTCAGTGGGTAATGAACTGTTAGAACTTCTGCCCTGTTCCATGTTGCCCAGAAAGGCCTGTTCTTGCCTGTTCCTCAGAAGATTTAATGTGGCCAAACAGGAAGGAAGCGGTTGATTCCATTCGGACTTTCGCCTTGTGGAACCCAGCCTCAAGGCACATTTCCCAGAAACCATTTGTGTAAAAGTAGGGACTGCCTATGGCATAATGAGCTTGAGGTGGCAAAACAGTTTTGAGAGAGAAGGTAATTGTAGTTACAGGACACGAGCCAATTATAGGCTTCTTAAAAACTGTGATTAAGAATTGTGTTGTGTATGGTTAGCCCTTATATTTGGCTGAGCCTTAGGGTCATACTGGTTTCTTTTTGAGGATTTATAAGAGTAGATTGTGGGCTACACCCTTGATGGTGCTGCCATTTGATGACTGAATGAGAAGGGAGTTTGTGTCAACAGTGGAAGGATCAGGTGGGAACTGGATGTGGTCAGTGTGGAAGATGATGTGTTGAGGGTATTGATTCCTGGAGGGAAATCTGGTGGTGGCTCAAAGAGTACAGCAGCCCTTGTGTGGCTGAGATGAACCTGATGCATGGGCAGCAGAATTACTTACCATTGTGGCAGTAGGTTGGGGGCGAGACTAACTTGGGGCTGATGATCTGTGGTGAATGTGTCCAAGAAGGGTGGTGAGGGAGCCCTGTAAGGTGGGTTAGTAGAGTCAGGGACAGCAAAAACTGATGGAAGAGTAGAGGAAATGAGGGCTGTGGACCTCATCATCTCAGGGTCCTGGGAAGGAGGGAGGCCTTGAGGAGAGCCTTCGAAAGGTAATTTCACTCATGTCCAGAGAGCGAATTTGTTTCTTTTTCAGATGAGTTTTTGAATCCCTGGGAGAATAACCCATTTCTGCTTTCCTTTCAGGGGCTCAATGCGCATTGGGAAGGATTTTATACTCTTCACCAAGAAGGAAGACACCATGACCTGCCTCTTCTTGTCTCGGACCTTTCATGAGGAGGAAGGCATTGATGAAGTAGGTTCTGTCCTTGTGGTCTGAGTCATCATCTCGCATTTCCTAGTCTGCCTAAGTTATTTGTGATGCTGGGCTCATTGGGGTTGCAGGATTGCAGCCATGGCCCCATTATGGGATTAGCTGGTTAGTCGAACTGATTGAGGGGTTAGGCAGACCTCTTAGTGTGAGAGGAGATAAAAATCTCAAAGCTTCAGAGAATAGGTGTCCTATTAGAATGAGGCCATTAAATGACAGGGACCAAGAGTTGGATTTGTATCTTCTTTAGACTTGCAGCCTGAATTCAGTCTGGCAGGGTGTTAATATGAAGAGTTGCTTTATCAGGTGGAGTGTTTTAACTTGACTGTGGGTAGAGATCACAGCCTGCCATAGTAATAAGAATTAATAATAGGAATAGACTGTTTTTTCCATACGCTGGTGATTTTGTGGAATGTGTTATGAAGGTATTTTCCTTTTGAAGAAATATGTTGATTTAATCATTTATATCAGAAGGTGGAGTCAGATACCTGTAGGGCCTGGACAGGTAGTGAAGCAGGTAAGTATATGGAAAACATCATGGTAAGCTCTTTGCTAAATGATAGATGACACTTAGCCCCAGCTCATCATTGATGTGCTAGAAAGAAGTCCTAATGAATCTAGAATATTTTGATTTTATAGCATTTCAGTAATTAACTATGTAAGCTAAACACATGCTCAATTGATTCTCTTTGCGGCGTGGTGGTTCAGACATCCACAAAGCTGATGTGGTGAAGTCTGTGCTTCTTCATTGTGGAGATCAGAGACAGCTTTAGTCTGCCCAGCCTCAGACTGGACTCTTTTCTTCCTTTCATGTGTGAGAAGTGGCCAGAACTTTAGAGAGGGGTCTGAGAGGGTCTGCAGACAGAAATCCACAGATGTCATGTAAATAGGTGAGAACTCAATCAGGGTTTCAAGCTGATTAATCTCTCTTGGTTAGCTGTGATTAAATTCGTGCTGGCCCTGTTTAGGTGTGAGCTTAAATCGTAGCATATTAGTTCATATTGGGAATGAAAAGCTGTCTTTTTTCCACCACCAAACACTGGCAAGCCAGTGTTTTTGTTTGCCTTTTTGGTGCACTGTATCAGTTCATCTATCATGCATGCAGTAAGAGAAGTGCTATAGCTGGAAAAAGCAGGCTCCTGGGATAAGGTGGGGCAAAAGAACTTTTGTCCAGGCTGCGGTTTTCAGTAATTTTCTGATGGACTGTGGATAGTGGGAGGAGGATGGTCAAGTTCATGGAAATGGTGTGTTCAGGGTCCTGAGGGCTCATATGTGCTGTGGGAAGGGACTTGGCAAAGGGGCTACCTGAAGAAAGGTGGTGGCCTCTTGGAGAGCAGGCAGGGCCAGGTCAGGCTTGATCTCAGGGCTTTGGTGAGTGCGGGATTTTACTAACAGCAACCTTCAAAGACGTGGCAGTATCAGATTCCCTTTTAAAAAGATCCAGTTTGGTGGGGGGCAGGGCGCACCTGGGTGGCTTGATTTCATCTCAGGTTGTGATCTCAGGGTCATAAGATCGAGCCTCATGTTGGACTCTACGCTGGGTGTAGAGCTTGCTTTAGATTCTGTCTCTCTTCTTCCCCTTTCTACCTGCTCGTATTTTCTCTCTCTTAAAAAGAATCAGTTTGGTTATTGTGTGGTAACTGGATTGAAAAGACAGGTGTTGGAGTAGACAAGTTAACATTCCCTAGCTGTGTGTAGCATGCCAGGACTGCAGCAGGAAGGTGAGAGAGCTAGGAAGAATTGTCATTTCTTTGACATGTGGGGCCTGTAAATCTGGTGTTTGATTAGTGGAGAGGGGGAAAGGGGAATGATGTAGGTTCTAGTGTGGCAGCTGGGGCATGGTGGACTGTTTGGAGCTAGTGAAGAATGGAAGAGAGGGGCATCCTACTCTTTGATGAAGAGTGTCAGTTTTCTCCTGGACTTGGAAAGTTAAGTCTGGGTCACGAGCTTTTGTGGGGAGGCCTGGGCTCTGGGATCCTTGGTAACAGATGAGCTTACCTAAAAGTGTGCAGAGTGAGAAGAGCACCTGAGATCTCAGGGATGTTCTCCCCTAGGGAGAGGAGGCGGCCACAGAAGAGATAGGAGTGGCCAGATGGGTAACAGGAAAACCAGGGGAGTGGTGACATTGAAACTAAAGAAGTGTCCTGATGGCCAGGATGGGTGCCAGTGGAAGTGTATGCTGTGTAAAGTAATGCTGTTGTCACCTGGGGCTGCTGTGAAGAATGGGAGTTGCAGAATAAGGTACACATTCACAGAACACAAATGGAACTCAGTTCCCCGGGTAAAAAAGCTAGGTTGAAATTTTTTCCTTACTTGGTGCTTGAAGGTCACTATTTTGGATTGTACTCTAGTGCAAACTCAGCCAAGATTTCAAAATAAGATCATTTTGACTGGGTAGGAATGTGTCCAAACCAGCTCCAGGGATGAATACCATTAGGCAGAAAGCTTCTTAGAAAAAACTAAAATGTTTCAGAACCCTTAACAGTTTATCACTCTGGCACTTGTTAAAATAGAGTCTTTTTTTTCCTCAGAGTGGGCAATTTGATTTGAACCTTTGGGGTGCCTGGACTGGTTAGCTTTACAGAGGGAATCAAGCAGTCAGCTATCCACAGGGCTTGTGGGCAGCTGTCTGGGAGAGGAGCACATCTAAGCCTCTGGGTGTGGCACTTGAGGGTGGGGTTTTAGAAGACAGAGTAGGATTTTTTCCCCCAGTTTTATTGAGGTGCAATTTTATCACTCTATCAATCAGGTAGGATATTTAAAAACATAAACATAGATTATTCCGTAATATGGAATAGTGTGTATTAAAACACAGGTACAGTTGAGAGAATAATTATAAAGTGAACACCCAGGTAGCTGCCATAGTGGAGTGATACTAGAAGCCCCCAGTGTGCCCCTCACTAGTAATATTCCTTACTGCACCTCTGAAGGAACTGCCTTCAGGTAATTTTTGTAATGATCATTTCCGTGTTTCTCTTTATAGGTTTGGTATCTGTGTTATATATGCATTCTTGAATAATAGTTTTATCTTGTCTGTTTTATGACATTTATATAGTGGGCACATAACATACAGTGGGTTTTTTTTTTTCCTGTTTTTTGCCATTTTCATGTACACTGGTTTTTTGTTTGTTTTTTAGTACAGGGTGTACAGAGGGAGAGGGAGGATCTCAAGCAGGCTTCATGCCCAGTGCAGAGTCCAACACGGAGCTTGATCTCACCACCTTGAGGTCATGACCTGAGCCAAAATCAAGAGTTGGACACTTGGACACTGACTGAGCCACTCAGGCAGTCTGTATATAACATTGTTTTTTGAGATTCATCCATGTTGATGCTAGTAGCTGTTAGTTTGTCCATTGTCACTACTACACACTATTTCATCGGTATAAATATACAGTAATAAACTTTTCCAGTCTTTGAGATTTTTGTTACTCTTATATGTTTGCTGGTACATATGTACAGAAGCTTCTGCTAGGTTATAACCTGGGAGTGGAATTGATGAGTTGTCAGTATATATGTATCTTCAGATTCACTAGATAAGTACAAGTATCTCTTCAATAGTAGAAAGAGTAGAATTATTACCAGGTAAGGAGAATGGCCAGGGCTATCCCAAGGAGGGAACTGCCCATGCAGGGACCCCCCGGGCATAAATCAGCATATCCCAGAGGACCTGGTGCTATGAGGCTGAGTCTTGGGAAGGGGTAGAAGCCACAGAGTCTCTGGTGGTAGGCTGCAAAGCTTGGACCTCCTCTCTGGGGCAATGTGGAGCCATTATGGAGAGAAAGGAACAAGATCGGAGCACATTTTGGGAGAAACCTGTTCTGGGTCCTCCCTTAACGCATCTGCTTGTGCTTTCTCCATAGGTGATAGTTCCGTTGCCCACCTGGAATGCTCGGACCCGGGAACCTGTCACAGACAACGTGGAGAAGTTTGCCATCGAGACAGAACTCATCTACAAGTATTCTCCCTTCCGCAATGAGGAGGAAGTTATGACTCAGTTCATGAAGATTCCTGGGGACAGTGGTAAGTAGGCTTTGAACCTACAGCTCTGAGAATCCAGGAGCTCCAGAGCCATGAATAGTATGGGGATGTGCAGGGGGTGCCTTGCAGGATGAAAGGAGGATTTGTTTCCCAGGAACACTGGTGATCATCTTCAATCTCAAACTCATGGATAACGGAGAGCCAGAGCTAGACATAATCTCAAATCCAAGAGATATCCAGATGGCAGAGACTTCCCCAGAGGGCACGTGAGTGTGGCTGGAATGGGAGGGAAGGTTTGGAACTGATGTTCGTTTTCTCTCTGAGGGAGAGCTTAGAAGGTGAGACTTCAGGGAAAGAGGAGGGAGCTCATTTCCTGAATTTCTCAGTTCTTGGAGTTGATGAAGCTGAGCACTCAGTGTTTTCTTACAAGTAGGAGGATGAACAGGACAGCAGCTCCTCAGCTAAGTCAAAAGAAAAGATTGATGATCTCTTGCTCCAGCTCCTTGATTTGGAAACTAAGCCTAGAGATGGGAAAGGATTTGCTGGGTTTAGGGTGGTCGGGCTGGGTCTGGTGTCTGTGGAAGGCTTATGCTGGTGATGTGAGGGGTATGCTGCCCACACTGAGGGAGCAGCCCTTCAGGCTGGTGAGAAAAGCCAAGATGTGAGGTGGACAGCCCCCAGAGAGGCTGTCCTGCCATACTTTTGGTCAAGCTGGCTGTAGAGTAGGTGATAGCACTTCTCTTCCTGCCACCTCTAGGAAGCCAGAGCGGCGCTCCTTCCGCGCTTATGCAGCTGTGCTCTATATTGATCCCCGGATGCGGATCTTCATCCACGGGCACAAGGTGCAGACCAAGAGGCTCTCCTGCTGCCTATATAAGCCCAGGTAGGGGCCTGCCCACCCTGGTCTGCTGTTTCCCTTGAGCTAAGGATGGGGCCTTGGCATATGTCTGGAGCATTGTTGGAGTGATGCTGGGAGTGATGATAAGAGGCTCTGACAGTGTTGTCTGCATTTGGGCCTTTAAGCTCCTTGTGATTTACTGCGTAGAAACTTCTAAGTCCTGAGGGAGGGACACAGATGGCTGATGAGCTGTGGAGGTTGGCTCGTGAAGCTCATTGAGTATGAGTGCCTTCTGTGACATGGAGGGTGCTCTGCCTGGCACAGTGAACTGTCTGAGCCTCTCAGCTTCAGGGCCAAGGGGCCTATAGACACTACACAGGAGAACAAAGGCCCTGGCTGATTGCTGAGATTTGTTTCTGCTGTGGGATTAATGACACACCTGGTGAGTAGTGGGGTTGCTTATCAAAGATGGGATCAAGGGGCAGGTGGAATAAGGAATTGAGTTGTTTGCTAAAATAACTTTGTTTTTAACTCATCATGAGTACAGTGTAACTTGGGAGGAGGCAGGAAGGCAGGGTGCTTCCCGCATTGCTCACGTTGCTGCCCTACCCCACTGCTGCTTGAGTCTTCAGGTTGCTTTTTCCCCTGTTCAGGATGTACAAGTACACATCAAGCCGTTTCAAGACTCGTGCAGAGCAGGAGGTGAAGAAAGCTGAGCATGTAGCACGGATTGGTAATGCACGAACCCCCACCCTCACTGGGCAGGAGGGGGATCAGGTTGGGGTTGTCCGGGGAATACTTGTTGTGGCCAAAGCAGGATCCACAAAAAGCTCTGTCTAGCATCCAGAGGCAAACTGTTCTCCTGAACCACTGGTCTAGTTCCTCTTGCACCCCTCCCCCTGCATGCCAATCCTTTCAGCAGTTTTTCTCCCCAGATTCTACTTTCTCTTCATCAGCCATTTATAGGGACTTATCTAAAACAGTGTCAGTTCCTTGGCTTGCCCAGAGTGAAGAATCTCACACTATCCTCTGGCCCAAATACTTGTGAAATTGGTTTTCCTGACTGCAGGGCAAAAATCTCAAGGTCTCTCATGCTGACAGGGCTTCTTGGCTGCTTGATGGAGAGTGATTGGCTGAGGACTTTGATAACATCCAGCTCCTGCTGAGGATGTAACTCTGTTGCCTTGGGTAGTTTTTGACCTGTTCTGGTTCATTTGTAAAGTTTAAAAAACATGTCTCAAGTATAAATAGTGCCTGTTTTCTTTGGGGCCTCCAAACAAAAGGATTTTCCTTTTTGTACTGACTGCATTCCAGCCAGGGAGGCTGCTCTCCTAGCATTCCTGTTCCTTGGCGGTGTACATACATCTTGTTTAGCAAGTGCTATACTGTGGCATTCAGGATGGAAGACTGAGTGTTTTTGAACCTTTGTGTTCTTCACTGTGATTTCTTCTGGATTTTAGCTGAGGAGAAGGCACGGGAGGCTGAGAGCAAAGCTCGGACCTTAGAAGTTCGCCTAGGTGGAGACCTTACTCGAGACTCAAGGGTAAGGCCCCTGATCTGTACAGCTCTTCTCTAGCATTTCTGGCATTAGTATCCCAGAGCTAGCCTGGGATCAGGCTAGTCCTGAACTCCTTCTAAAGCTGAAAAATGGGATGTTAAGATGTTTCCGTAATCACTGTTGAACACACTGTGTGGCAGAATCTTGGCCAATCATTTATTTCAACATCCTAACAACCATATAAAGTGACCACTGGTAGTATTCTCAGTTTATGGAAAGGGAAATTGAAGTGCAGTTGGTCACTTGCCCCAGGTCACACACAGTAGGTAAGGGGTTTGAGCAGTTCTCTTTACCACTCTCTGACATACACTTCTGTAGACTTACTATTTCAGTTGGAGTGTTTGTTCCTTCAAGTCAGCCTAGTCAAGTGAAGCACAGCTTCTGAGTTTGTCAGTTTGAGTTTTTAAAGAAGTAAATCTCTTAAGTGTGGTTTTGAATCCATGTGATTTAAAATGAGAAATTTCAGATGTTTGTTATAATATTGACTGCTGCGGCCCAGAGCCCCTCCTCCACTCACCTGGTGCCATTGTACATTTTCAGGTGATGTTGAGGCAGGTCCAGAACACAGCCATTACTCTGCGCAGAGAAGCCGATGTCAAAAAGCGGATCAAGGAGGCCAAACAGCGGTGAGTGCCAGGGCTGGCTTTGTTTTTTTTTTTTTTTTTTTTTTTTTTTTTTTTAGTTATATAGCACTCATTATTGACAATTAAAGAGCTTGGGGAATCTCTCCCCACCGTGTGAGGTTGCCATTTTATTACAACGATTGCTTTGAGAGCACCATTGATGTTATGATCCCAAATGCTTGTTAAATGCCCACTGCCGGTTTTTTTCCTGAGCTAGGAAAAGGCAGAGTGGGGCCAATCCCTGGTAGAGAACCCAGACCTTCTTTCCTGGCAACTCCCGTTCTGTCTTCCCTCCCTCTCTTTCTTCTTCCTTTCTTTTTTTCTCTCTCTCCTCTCTTTTCTTCTTTTTTCTATTCATTTAAAGGATTTATAAAATGCTTATTTGTATGAAACTTATAAAACACATACCTTTTTAAGAAATACGACTTTAAAACTCGCTTATGTTTGTACCATCTGGTAATATCTACTCTTAATATTTTACCCCTGGATACAAATGTGGAATAATGCATAGGTTGAGTTCTGGACCTTTTTCGTCTAGAATGGGTCATCCTGGCTCATTAGATTATCTCCATGTCTCATCTTATGTTTGGAGCTTCTCAGGTCTCTGGATTTCAATTCCTGCATTGCTGCTTCTTGGCCTTCCTGCCACAGGCATAGGTTTCCGGATTCTTCTGAGTCAGTGCACTGCTCATACATCTTCTTTTCAGCTCCATGATTTTGTTATTTATCACAGGAGAGTCTCTTCTAGATGTTCTTGTTCTGGTGAATTTTTTACTTTTTTAAAATTAACTACTGTCACATTAGTGGAGTAGGTATAACTTGTGTTTAGTCCACCATGTAACTATCTTTCCAGAGGTTTGCAGCAGCTTCAAAGTATCCCATTCATACTTAAACCCATCCTGTTTTGTAACCAGAAGCCAAAGTCCTATGCTTTTATGTAGGGATGCGTAGAGTCACTGTGCAGCACCGTATCCCTATCAAATCTAACAAGTTACACATTGACTGGAAATGCAAAACTTGCATGTTTTTTTTCTTAACGTGTCTCAAGTTTAAGCTTAAGCTAGCATATCTTAAAGACCATGGTGTTTTTGTGTTAATGGGTTGATCTGCTTAAATTCATCTTGTGTCTTCTCAGAGCACTTAAAGAACCTAAGGAACTGAATTTTGTTTTTGGGGTCAACATTGAACACCGGGACCTGGATGGCATGTTCATCTATAACTGTAGCCGCCTGATCAAGATGTATGAGAAAGTGGGCCCACAGCTGGAAGGGGGCATGTGAGTATTGCCCAAGGAGAGTTTTTCAGCCCTAGGCAGATGACAGGATGTGTTTGGTCAGTGGGGTGACAGAGCTCTGTCATCTTTTCCCTGTAGGGCATGTGGTGGGGTTGTTGGGGTTGTTGATGTGCCCTACCTGGTCCTCGAACCTACACACAACAAGCAGGACTTTGCTGATGCCAAGGAGTACCGGCACCTGTTGCGGGCAATGGGGGAGCATCTGGCACAGTATTGGAAGGACATTGCCATTGGTAATTACCTTTCTGTTCACTTCCAACCTTAGGATACTCTTAGTGCCCAATGGTGTAAATTTAGGAAGAGTGAGAAGCTGCCTCCTGATATATTGTGTGGGTGTTTGCTTTCCAGCCCAGAGGGGAATCATCAAGTTCTGGGATGAGTTTGGCTACCTCTCTGCCAACTGGAACCAGCCTCCATCCAGTGAGCTACGTTACAAGCGCCGGAGAGCTATGGAAATCCCAACCACCATCCAGTGTGGTGAGCTGGTGGTCGGAACCTCCTCCTGACTCTCCACCACAGTCCATGAGCCTTTTTTCTCTTTCCCCTTGCGGGCCTCCTGACTTGACTGACATTCATGGACTTTTGGTCCCACTGGGGATGAGTCTGTTTGGTGATGGCCCTGGGAGCTCAGTCTTGGTGCTATGTCAAGTCCCACCTGTCCCTCCTGAATGAGGTAGAAGGTGTCTTGGCCAAGCCTCACTTGGTTTGATACCACATTGTTAATGGTGCGAATGATGATTGAGCCAGTATCCTTTTTGAGGAGCTGGAGAGGCTGGGAACATTGAGAATCCACAATATAAAGTGGCTATTCTTGCTGGAATCACTGAGAATTACTGTTCTGCAAGGAAGGCAGGGTTGTAGCCTGAGTAAAGATCTTTGCATGGAAAGTTGGGAGCATCTTTGCCTTGAGAACCTGCTTATAGATACTGTTAGCAGGCATGACTGATGTTTGTGGGGATGTTTTCTGTGTCATAGATTTGTGTCTGAAGTGGCGAACCCTCCCCTTCCAGCTGAGTTCTGTGGAAAAAGATTACCCTGATACCTGGGTTTGCTCCATGAACCCTGATCCTGAGCAGGACCGGTGAGCACTTGCTCTAACAAGGAGATTGTGGGTATCTTCTCTTTCCCCCCACTGTATTCCTTCTACCCTTTGGGTAAATGATTTGCTGTGCATCTTGAGGTCAGTGCTAATATCCTCATGTCTCTGTCTTGCTGCAAATAATAAGTGCTCTGGAAGTAAGAATAGATGTCTGTCCTGCAGTGAGTATTAATTCTGTACATTTGGGAACCTTGAGGTCATTGCTGTGGTGAAAGCATGGGTTGGCTAAAGAGGAAGGAACATGTCCTACCTAGGGTCCTGTTTTGGCACAACCTCCCTAACACTCTCTTTCTACAGATGTGAGGCTTCTGAACAGAAGCAGAAGGTTCCCCTGGGGACATTCAGAAAAGACCTGAAGACACAAGAAGAGAAGCAGAAGCAGCTGACAGAGAAAATTCGCCAACAGCAGGAGAAGCTAGAGGCCCTGCAGGTGCGTGTGTTGTGGGTAGTGGGCAAAGCCAGCTTGTGTCAGGTCTCTCTGGGATGGAACAGGAACCTTCAGTGGCTCCCTGGTTTTTGAGTATACACCATGATCATCATTTTTAAAAATCAAACTGCTGTTTTTTGTATTCCAACGTGGTCAGAAAATAAGTATTCTAGTATAGAGGTAACCACCACTAACTGACAATACCCTTCTAACTTTTTATGATTGCCTGTGTACACATGAATATATGTAATAAAGTGGAAATCCTGTGCCATGACATGTCACATTTTTTTTTTAGTGCATACTTTACTTGGGATATTTTTCTAGAAGTGAATTTGAAAGGGTAAAAAGTGTTTGTAAAATTTTGTGGCTTTTTATAACTACTTCCAAGTTATTCTCCAGGAGATGTACTAGTTTGGTTTTTTTTTTTTTGTAAGCAGTACATTTATTTTAAAGTATTTTTTGCAAATTTGACGGGCAAAAATATACGTCTTATGATTTGAATTTCTTATTTTTGATTTGGAGAGTTTTTTACTCAGCTATTTGTTTCAGAATAGCTTATTCTCATTTTCTTAATTGATTTGTCAAGTTTTTGAGACATATTTATGGTATTACTCCTCGATCATTTTTATTTTATTTTATTTTTTTTGATCATTTTTATTTTTATTTTTTAAAAAATATTTTATTTATTCATGAAAAACACACACACAGAGAGAGAGAGAGAGAGAGAGAGAGAGAGAGAGAGAGAGACACAGGCAGAGGGAGAAGCAGCCTCCATGCCAGGAGCCTGATGTGGGACTTGATCTCGGGTCTCCAGGATCATGCCCTGGGCCAAAGGCAGGCGCCAAATCACTGAGCCACCCAGGGATCCCCCTCCTCTATCATTTTTATTAGAAAAAAAGATTTTTCTTTTCTGGCTTCTGTGTCTGTGCAGATGTTTGCACTAACCTGGATGTCTTACACCTGCCTCCCTGCCTACTGAATCCCACTTGTCCTTTCTGGCCTTTTCTATCACACATTTCCTAACTTTTCTGGCTTCTTTTATAGGAATTTAGTCCATTGACACTTTCTCCTGGTCTCTCAGTTGCTAGATTAGTCACATAGAATCCTGATGATTTAGTGTTTTTTTTGTCTCTCCAATGAGAATGAATCTCTTATAATAGGACTGTGGTCTAGGTTTTCTTTTTTATTTGCCCACTGTCCCAGACACAGTAGGGATCCAGAGAGTTTGCTTGAACGTACCAAGATATGCAAACAACTTCGTCATTTTTGCCATGCAGAAAACCACTCCTATCCGCTCCCAAGCTGACCTGAAGAAATTGCCTTTGGAAGTGACCACCAGACCTTCTACAGAGGTAAAGTCCAGAAGGTGGGGGGGTGGTGGTGGTGACTTTTCCTTAGGTGTCTTGTCCTAGGATAAGTGTTCTCACTCTGTTCCGTTCTCTTTTAGGAACCTGCACGTAGACCTCAGCGTCCTCGGTCGCCTCCTTTACCTGCTGTGATCAAGAATGCCCCAAGCAGACCTCCTTCCCTGCAGGCTCCCAGGCCAGCTAGCCAGCCCCGAAAGGCTCCTGTTATCAGCAGTACCCCTAAGCCTTCTACCCTGGCAGCTCGGGAGGAGGCCAGTACATCCAGGCTGCTGCAGCCACCTGAGGCACCCCGAAAGCCTGCTAACATACCGGCTAAGACTGCGCCCCGGCCCACTCCTATGGTGCAGCCACTGTCACCATCTCTGCTACCCAACGCCAAGAGCCCTCGGGAGGTCCCTGCTCCCAGAGCCATCAAGACTCCAGTAGTCAAGAAGCCAGAGCCACCCAGTAAACTCTCCCCAGTGAGATGCTTTTTTTCTTCCAGCTCCAAGCCTACCCTCAGTGGTGTAGGAACAGTATCAGGCTGTGTCAAAGCTGTACTGGGGGAGCCTTATTGGAGATCACCAAACCTCAAGCTTCCTGTTGCCCCTAAGGAGGAGTCTCAATAATCAAAGGGACTTTCTCTGGTCAGGGCACAGAGCATGTTGGTTTCCTGTCCAGGGAGCTCTTCAGTATTCCCTTTGTGTTTTGATCTGCCATAAATTTAAGTTCCCTCCACCAGCTTCTGTGGTATGGGCATAGGTTGGCAGCCTGGTGAAAGCCGTGGTGGGTTGCAGCAGTGGGCAGCATGTTTCAGGGAGGTCACAGCTGGTGCCACAGAGGCTAAAGGAGAAGTAAACTGAGAAGCTCCCCCTATGACAGCTTTGAGCAAAGGTCCCTGTGGGCACAGGGACCAGGAGGTTGCTGTATACTGAGTAATGTCAGGGGAGGCTCAGCCGTGGGGTAACTGAGAAGCACACAAGTGTTACTGCTTCTTTAGGCCAGATGGAATCTTCTGCACTTCAAGGGCTGACAGGGCCCCTCACATTCCCTCTCCTCTTGCTATAGACCATTCCTGGTCGGAAGCGGACTCTTGGGGTCTCTGATGAGGAAGAAGCCGAGGAAGAGGCTGAGAGGAGGAAAGAAAGGTCTAAGCGGGGCAAGTTTGCTGTGAAGGAGGAAAAGAAGGACTTGAATGAGGTAGGTGGTCCCAGGTGAGGTTAAAACCTCCTCAGGGTTGCAGTCTGCACCAGCTCTGTTTCTTTTTTTTTTTTTTTTTAAAGATTTATTTATTTACTCATGAGAATACACACACAGAGAGAGAGAGAGGCAGAGACACAGGCAGAGGGAGAAGCAGGCTCCGTGCAGGGAGCCTGATGTGGGACTCGATCCTGGGTCTCCAGGATCACAGCCTGGGCTGAAGATGGCGCTAAACCCCTGAGCCACCCGGGCTGCCCCCAGCTCTGTTTCTGTTTTGATTTGAGCCTTCCAGAAGCCCAGTTCATCTCTGTAGGATCTTAGTCACACAGGTGATTTAGAAACATGGTGTCAGGCACGCTTCTGAGTGAGACTGGCTTCTGGCTCTCATCACAGGCTGGAGGTCACACATAGATTGAAACCCTTTGCATCCCTGTGTCTGTGACTTTCGTTTGCATACTGTCTTGTTTATAAAGGTGGCAGAAGGGTTGACACTCAAGGTTCTGATTTAGAGAGCAGCTCTTGGTGAGACATGGAGATTTAAATGGTGACATAAGGGACACCTGGGTGGCTCAGCGGTTAAGTGCCTGTCTTCAGCCCAGGGTGTGATCCTGGAGTCCTGGGATCGAGTCCCACAACGGGCTCCCTGCATGGAGCCTGCTTTTCCCTCTGCCTGTGTCTCTGCCCCTCTCTGTGTCTTCATGAATTAAAAAAAAAAAAAAGTCACATAAGACAACATGAAGTGACAGCTGATGACCCTGGATTGCCAAACATGCAAAAATATGCTTATCAGGGACACTGGGGATGCTTTTAACACTGTAACATTGTTCTCCTTGCAGCTCTCAGATAGTGCTGGGGAAGAGGACCCAGCTGACCATAAGAGGGCTCAGAAAGGTAAATTCGGGGAGGTAATTGGCAGCCTGTGGGGGAAGGGGATAGCGGGGCCCCTCAGCCAGCAACAACTTATCCTGAAGGTTCTTGGAGGCTTTCCTGGCTCTGGGCTCTTGTGTAGCAGTGGTTCCAAGTCTAGTCCTGAGAAGAATTCTGAAGATAGCACACCCTTATGTGTATTTTTAGCACAAATTTCTTGGCTTGCACTTCTGGCAGTCACTTATCCTGCTGCTCTTTGGCACCCTCATGGCAGATGGGGAAGGAGACCAGGGTGGCTGGGCTCCATGTTCCTGGCAAAGTACTGGCAAGCATTTAGCGGTTCTTGTCCCAGCAAGTCCTTGGACTGCCTCTCTAGGTGGCCCTAGCTGAGTAGGGAACTCCGTTAATTTTTTGACTCTCACTCCATCATCATTCTCTTAGATAAAGGGTTGCACGTGGAGGTGCGTGTGAACAGGGAGTGGTACACAGGTCGTGTCACAGCTGTGGAAGTGGGCAAACATGTGGTGCGGTGGAAGGTGAAGTTTGACTACGTGCCCACAGACACCACTCCAAGAGACCGCTGGTAATGCCCCTTTCCAGAAGCCCACAGAGTTGTCCAGGCCAGGGGGGTTCTGTCCCAGCCTCCCAGCAAGCGGCCCATCCTGGGTGCCTGGGGCATACATGACAAGTGCTTTGTGCCTCCTAGGGTGGAGAAAGGCAGTGAGGATGTGCGGCTGATGAAGCCCCCTTCTCCGGAGTACCAGAGCCCTGACACGCAGCAGGAGGGTGGGGAGGAGGAGGAGGAGGAGGCAGTGGTGGCAGCACCACCTGCGCCGCCAGCGGCGGCGGCCCAGCAGGCTGTAGCCACGGCAGAGCCCTCTACTTCTGACTGCATCCGCATAGAGCCTGACACCACTGCCCCGAGCACCAACCATGAGACCATTGACCTGCTCGTCCAGATCCTCCGGTACATGTGTCTTCCCAGTCAGGCTAACTCTGGCTCTCTACCTTCTTCTTGCTATTCTGAATTCCTCTTCCCACCTTCTTCTTTCTTTAGGAATTGTTTACGGTACTTCCTGCCTCCTAGTTTCCCCATCTCCAAGAAGGAGCTGAGTGCTATGAATTCAGATGAGCTAATATCATTTCCTTTGGTGAGTTTAGCCTTTTATTTTTATTCTGCATGGCCCCTCAGCTTCATGTTTATTGTGATTGCCAGCTCTTGTGTCATCCCCCCCCCCCGCCATTTTGCTGCCCACCTCCCCTATGCCCCCTCACAGCCTCTCTTTTGCTGAGAGAAATAGAACACGTGTAGAAAAATGCCATAGCTGGCTATGATTGTGGTATGCAGAAGCCAACCACACCGTTCCATAAGATGCTGGGGCTGAGTCCTCACTTAGGGACAGCAGGCCTGGTTTGATATTTCCTAGAGTGTATCTGTTTTCCTCTGCCCCAGCAGAGGGAGTAAACTTGTCCCAGGCAACAGTGAAGAACTTAGACTTAAAGTGCCTAAAACTTGACTCTTACAGTGAGGTAGAGATGTGGGTAGTGTTATTTTGTAAGCACTGGGTGTTATTATGCTAAAGTGGCACAGGCCCTGTGCTGGATCTCTTAATGAGCAGCAGTAGAGAATCCTGCCTCCCAAGTGCCTTATGATTCAGTAGAGACTGAATTTTTTCTAGGTAGCTGGACATGAGACTGAGAGCAGTAAGTGCCATGGAAGCAGTTGGGCTGTGGCAGCCTTGGGGAGGGAGCAGCAGTCTGAAGTGCCTGTGTAAGTGACAGGGAAGATTTGAGGCAGGGCGACTTTGTGAGCAGGAGGTCAGAGGGATGAAAGTTCCCAGGTCAAGGCAGCAGGCTATGTAGTAAGCATTTAGGGAAGAAGAGGGCCCTGAGGGTCAAGATATGGTACTTTTTTTTTTTTGATACGGTACTTTTTGAATGTCTGATCTTAGGGGCTTGGTGGTTTAAACCTTGTATAAAATGGAGGGCCAGCAAAAGTTTTGAGCCAGGGGAATTGTCATTCTGAACCTGGTCTAGGGCAGAAAAACAAACTTTTTCTCTAGAGGGCCAGTTAGCAAATATTTTCAGCTCTGTGGCAGCTAAACACTATGACACTGCAGTAGACCATTTGTAAAGGAATGGATGTGGCTGTTCTGTAGTAAAGCTCTATTTACAAAAAGAGGTGGTAGGCTTATAGGGCCTGGGGCTCTAGTCTGCTGACCCTGCCCTAAGAGGATAGCTCTCATGGCAGTAGGTTTGGGTGAGATGGGTGGATGGAAGATGCCGGGGCAAGAGGGCCAGTTGAGTTGTGAAGGGTCGGAGATGAGGGAATGGGAACTTGAGTTAGAGTGGTGGGAGTGGACTGGTGGGTGAAAGGGCCATGTCAGAGGTGGTTGGTTGACTGGAGGCAAATGATGGGGGAGGAGGCAGAGGCCATGTACTTCTTTGTGTCTCAGGCCTGTGGGAAGTGATGACAAAGCTATTAACTGGGAGAGAAAACGGTGGGGGTAAGAGCGGTGATAAATTGTGATTTGTGTTGGGCTGGGAACACTGGCCATCTGCATTTTTGGTGATGTTCAGTGCGCAGGTCAAGATCGGGGATGGGGCACTTGGAGGGGTGGGACGGTTAGGGCTGCAGATGGAATCTGGGAGTTGTCTTCCTCAAGTGGGACAGATATGTTTATGTTTGGAATAGCTTAAGTTTTCTAGGGAAGAGTTTCTAGAGAACAGAACTAGAATTGAAACTGTAGATATTGGGCCCTTGTGTGGCAGCTGTGTGTTTAATGGTTTCCAGAGAGGAAGAGATAGGGCTTTTAATCTTCATTCTACTAAAAAGAAAAAAAGGAAGTATTAGGAGTTGAAGAAACTGAGGCTCAAGTGAAGAATCTGTTGTGATAGAACCCAGATTTGAATCCAGGTACTACTACTTTAGGACATGGGGCTTGCCCTTCTTCCAGTACTGCCTTGCTTCCCATGAGAGGAGAGGGCAGGTGCAGGCCGAGGAAGCTAGAGGATGGCAGAGCTCATCAGAAAGCTTCCTCAGAAAGCTCTGTGTCTCAGCTCTGGCCCTTGTTGAGGCTGCAGCTGCTCTCTGCAAATCCCATGAACAATCCACTAATGAGGATGCTTAGGTTGGTGGCCTGGCATTCTCTTGTCAAATTTGTTGCTTGTGGTTTAAAGTTGTTGCCAGACTCAGAGCAAAGCCTGGGTCCACTGGGTCTTCGCTGTTCAGACCAAAAACACGGTCAGCCAGGAGCATCTGAGCTTTTATTAGCATCTGAGCTAATAAAAGAGTCTATTAGCTATCTTATGCTTGTAAAAGGAAGTATACCACCAGTGCATCAACTTTATAGTCTGCTGACTGTAAGGTCTAAACAGACAGATTACTAATGTTCATTATGTTTTTGTCAGTCTGTGAAAGATCATCCTTTTTGCCATCATCCTGGATGGGAGTTTCATAAAGTCCTCAGGAGTCCTACAAATACTAGATTTAAACATATATGTTTTTAAAAAGTATTATAACTGTACAAATTTATAATAAATGAAGAGTTAAAACTAACTCAAATCATAGGCTCAAGACATACTGAGTTTTAATATTTTGGAGTCTGCCTAAACACTTTGTGCTACCGGTGTAATTATTTTTAATGGAGAACTTCAAATTTCTCTTGCCATTCTGGTTTAATAGGATAATACTCTAAATTGTAAGGTAAATGACAAAGTTAAGTACTTGCCAGTAACACTTTTTAAAAACAGCAGTCAGGGGCCGTCAATGCCAGGTAGCTCATACATCTTTATAGAAGCATATAAACCCACGAGTTGATAAGACTACAGTGGTCAGCTAGGACCATTCATTTTCATCAGAATGGTGTTATTCTCAAGGGTAACTTATGAGTAAATGATGTTGTAAGTTTGAGTTTTGAAAATAGATACTGCACAGATTTTTTTCCAATTAGATTCCATGTAACATTTCTTTTGAAGCAACTGTTCTGGCTTTTAAAAGTTTGAAAAGCTTCATGCCTTGAGAAACTGCTAGTTAACATCAGTACTCCACACCTTGGAAATTTCAGGTACTTAGGAAAGACAGTAAAAATTCTAATGTTGCTTATTAGTATACTACACAAATCTGGAGGTATCCACTGTTGGTGGGTGCTTGATAAGTATTTCTGGAAGAGAACTTCTGGTTCTGACATTGTGAGGTGTGACTTAGGATGGGCTGCCAAAAGGACTGTGGTGAAGTTAGAAACATGTGATTCAGCTGGGAGAAGGACTTGTCCTTTTTTTTTTTTAATTTTTTATTTATGATAGTCACACACAGAGAGAGAGAGAGAGAGAGGCAGAGACATAGGCAGAGGGAGAAGCAGGCTCCATGCACCAGGAGCCCGACGTGGGATTCGATCCCGGGTCTCCAGGATCGCGCCCTGGGCCAAAGGCAGGCGCTAAACCGCTGCGCCACCCAGGGATCCCAGGACTTGTCCTTCTCGTGCCAACTGCAATGGAAGAATCATCCCTCACATTTACTAATGGCTTGCTGTCAAGGGCTGAAGGGTTCACATAGGTGATCCCATCTCTTTCTTCATGGCAACCTCATGAGATGGGCATCAGGTTTTTCCACTTTGGAGCTAGAGAGCCTGCTTATCCCTTGTCTGTGACATCCCTTCACAGAGCCAGTTGCATAGGGATACTGGAGCCCATCTAGAGAGGCCCTGGGAACCCCTGTAAGCTCATGCACTTACCCTCTGGGTTCCCTCCCTACAGAAAGAGTACTTCAAGCAGTATGAAGTGGGACTCCAGAATCTGTGCCATTCCTACCAGAGCCGTGCTGACTCACGGGCCAAGGCCTCTGAGGAGAGCCTGCGCACTTCTGAGAGAAAGCTCCGAGAGACAGAGGAGAAGCTGCAGAAGCTGAGGACCAACATCGTGGCGCTCCTGCAAAAGGTGCAGGAGGTGAGCCAGGCAGCCCTCTCATTGCAGCTGGACCACCTGGTGTCTCAGGGAGGGGGGCTTGGGCACCTCCTGCTCCCTTCTCCCCACTCACAGGAATCTGTGGTTCCAACCCTGGCTGCACAGCATCCTGACCAGGAGGGCTGGAGGTGGTGCGGCTGCCTGGGCCTCATCCCAGCCAGACCCACGGTATCAGATTTTTGCCCTTGTTTAGATCTTCTGATTTACAACCTGGTTTGAGAATCCTCCGAGCCATAAAACAGAAATTCTCACTTTTCCAGATGACGCCCAGATTGGGATTGTAAGGAGTACCCCTTTAGGGTCTCAGTCCTTCATCCATGCAGTCAAAACTGTGGACTTGCTTTGTTTCCTGTGGGATATTGGGTGAACCAGATAGACAAGATATGGTCCCTACACTCATGGCCCAACAGACTGGTGAAGGACACAAAATTATTGATGGCAGGAAGTTCTATGAAGAAAACACTTCATGTAAGAGAAGGAAGACACAGAGGCCACTTAGGGTGTTCAGCGGTGGCCTCTCTGAGAAGGGGATATTTGAGCTGAGAGTAGAATCAGTTACATACAAGATGTGAGTGCTTTGGGCAGAGGAAAGGGTAGGACCTAAGGCTCAAGGCAGGGAGTTGCAGGCAATAGAAGAGGCAGGGCCTGTATGAGGTGAGCTGTCCCTGGAGGGGTATGGCCCAATCCTGTTTGCAGATTAAGACATTTAGTTGGTTGGTTATAGGAAGTCCTGGAGTGGGGTGGAAGTTAGAATCCATGACTTGGGTGAGGAGATTCCCATACTTATCTGAATGAGAGATTTTGATGGCCTGAATCTTGGTGACCACGTGAAAGGCAGATTTGTAATATTTGGGGGGAAGGAAGGAAACAGGGGTGATTCTTCTGATTTGTCTTGAGTCCCTGGGTGAGGGAAGGTGGTGGCGTATATTGAGATGGGCACAGCCTGGGGTAGGGTGGTGCAGTTGGGCTGTTTTGAGTGTACTGAGTTTGAGAAGCCTGCAACACATCTAAGGCACCCAGGATCCTGGGGCAACAGGGCAGGAGCAGGGCAGGAGCAAGAAATCTGGGCGTCATCTGTGTATTGAGGATGGGAAGGGGGAGAAGGATCAAGGTGGGACAGGCCTTGACAGCCAGGGTGGAGGGGGGAGTGGAGGGGACTCTGGGCTCAGGCTCCATTGCCTGCAAGAAGGATGGGGAAGTGCCCCCCCCCTTCTGCCTTCTGGCCCCCACCTGACTTCTTCCTTCTATTCCAGGACATAGACATCAACACAGATGATGAGCTGGATGCCTACATCGAGGACCTGATCACCAAGGGGGACTAAGGGGCTCAAGACAAGGGGACTAAGGGGCTCAAGACAAAAATCAGTTCCTCTGCCCTTCAAGGCAGAGTTCTTGGGGGGTGGTGTTTTGTTCATGGGTGGTGGACTTACCTTGGTTTGATTCACATGAGACATTTGTGCTTTTGGAGGGAAAAATACTCTGATTCTTTGAATCTTCCTCCCTAAGTTTATAAATATTTATTTTTTAAAAGAAATAAGATGCTGCGCCTGCTGTGAGATCATACATTTTTCTTTTGGTGACTCCTGGGCAAAGGACAGAGAACCGGGATGCCAAGCTCCTTCTCTTGGCTCCTGGGTCCTAAAGATGTGGTAAACCCAGTGTCATCTATAAGTTGGAGAGGCTCCAGGGGCAGGGCTGGTCTCTTCTAGAGGATGAACAATGTTGAAATCTGAGGGGTAGGGGAGGGAACAAGCCCTCCAGAGTGGTACTTTTCCTAGAGGCTCTGATTTAGGGGACCCCTGGAGGCGGTGGGTCAGGATAGAGGCTCAATGCTGAGCAGCTCCCATCTCAGGTCCGGGACATGACCTCCAATTCGACCTCGCCATCCATCACTCAAGTTCTCCCTGTGGCAGTGATTTCCTCAGTTAACCATGCATGAATAGTGAGGTTTTCCACTCCAAAAATCTGAGTCCAGGTGGAGTAGTAGATCTGACTCTAGTGGGCTGTACCCTGAATGAATGTTTGAATTCCAAAGGATTCTTTTTGAAAAAGCCCTTTGTGACAGTGCCCCTGGTACTGATCTGGTGGTGACCTCTGCCGGTGGGTTTGGCAGGGTCTGGAGGGAGCACGCTGCTCAGATGGTGCTGGCTGACCTGGAGAGCCTGCTGCTGTTGCTGCTTTTACGGTTTCCCCCCCCCGCCTGGCCCCACCAATCCCTGCTCTGGGCTAGACAGGAAAAGGGGTCACTGAGCCACAGGGACTCCAGAGGCAGCTTTTTAGAAAGCACACCATGCCTTCCCTCCCATCTAGTCACAGCGTCATTCAGCTGTGTCCCTCAAGTGACTTCTCAGGGTCAAAGACAAAGGCAAGAGTTGCTGAGTTTCTCTTTAGTCACTGGAAAAATTCTGGTTTGATTTTCCCCAACTGTCTTCTCTCCTCTTTATTTGGGGACTTTGGGTTTTCTAGAGGCACAAGAACTGTGGCCTGGTACTGCTTAGTCTGGGATTCAAACCTTTCTGGGTGTGTTTCTGCCATCTATCCACCTCAGGTCATCATGGCCCACATGCCACTCCGTGGCCTCTGCAGGAGACTGGGAGGTGCTGGTGAGGGAAGTCTTTACCCACTTGTGTGCCCAGAAGCACCTGCAACTTGTGGGTTTGGGCCTTCCCCAAACCACATCCCTGGAGGAGGGTTATTTGGGGACATACCACTCAGAACTTGGCCTCTTCCTCTGGAAGATTCTCTGAACCTTGGAGTTTCTTGAGCTGGTGATTACTCTCCTTCCAGCTCACTCTCTTCATCCCAGGCAGCATGTGGTTCATGTTTGTCCCCAAACCTTATTGTTTGAATCTAATAGGAAGTTGGTTCTGCATTTTTATCAAAGGGTGTAATACCCACCTTTTTTATTTACACACCTGTAATCAAAATGCAATACTATAAAACTTTTGCTGGTGAGACTCCTGAACTCAGTCTGTTTTCTTCTGTTAGTAAAATCTAGCACCTTCTACTTCATTCTTTCTACCACTGTGGCTTTAAATGGATTTCAGATATTTCTTCATCACGATCTTCCTTTTTCTGTATCCACCCTCCTTACCACAGAAACAAATGCTCAATTTCTTAGAATGTTTTAGCTTGAACTTCGGTGTAACCACTTTGCTGTTTAAATCCAGTCACAGCTGTACTGAATGCAGCCTGTGTCCCAGGCAGAGCTCCTGCCATTCTGGTTGGGATGGGACCCGCCTGAAATTGTCTGAGGACATGGGAGGAGGGAGTCGTCTGGCTGGTCTGTGGCCCAAGGGTCACTAGCACAGTGGCAGCAAAACAGGTGAATACAGAGGAGCAATGGGGACTTTCTTTGGTTTTAAGTGACACAGCATACAGTAATAATTCAAACAGTACAGAAAGGCTGGAAAGCCTGAAAAGCAAGACGCCCTTTCACCCTTGACCCCTATTTTCTCCCTGAGAATAATATCCATACTTGTCCACACATCCACTCTGTTCAGTTTCTGCCTGTTTCCCACAATGTATCTTGGAACCTGTTTCAGAATAGCCAATATGGGTCTACTTTTTTCTTCTGCAAAACCCATAGCATTTCATTGTCTTGGATGTACCATTAAGAGTCTCCTACTTAAAAAGATTTGGGTTAACATTTACGAAAAATGCCCTGATGAATGTGGTGTGTGTGTGTATTATTGACTCAGATCTGTATGTATGTATGTATGGTAAACTCCAAAGAGAAATGGCTGTGTCAAATGGTAGGTATTAATATTAAAAATATTAAGATGGTCCAGAAAAGACCTCCAACTTTAACTCTTGCCAGCAATGTATTTCACCCCACCACACTTGTCAGTATGCAGTCTCTTCCATCCTGTGTACTAATCTAAAAGGTGGAAAGTGATGTACTTTTGAGTTGGTTTGAACTAACTTAAATAAGATTGAGACCTTCATTGGCCATTTGTGTCTCTGATGCAGGGCGGCAGTTCTGATTTTGGATTAGGGACTTTATAAAAGTGTTTACAAAAGTATAATCTGAAAACCAAGAGGGTGAAGTCCTCCGGAAAATCTTCCCCTTACACTACCCCTTCAGGCCCTAAGTGTCCCATGGATTTAGGATTGTAAACCTCACTTTAGGATCAATACTGTATTAGTAGGTAGGGACAGAGGTTTGACATGTTTTACTCAAGGAAGGTATGAGTTAATAGGCTGAGAAAAACTTGGGGTTCCTTCATTACATCTATCTGACACTACTTCTTGACTCTTGTTGGGTCCCCATATTTACATGACTGCCTTTCAGACCTGTGATTCAAGCAGAGGTAGCCAGGAGTTCATAGCTCTAAGACTGATAGAGCTCAGATTTCTTTGCCATTTATGTAGAATATAGGCTTGACGAGTAGACAGTGGCTCCTGGCTACTTGTCCCTGTTGGAATGTTGTTCTCTAGCTGGTCAAGGCTATAAGGGGGCCTGTTGGTGGGTGGTTGCCAAGGTGCCTGAAACATCCTCAGAATTCCACTGCCTCCCTTTGGCCAAGGGAGGCAAAGCTCTAAGGGATCGTGCTTTCTCCGCTGCTGTTTGAGGCCTCGAATTGTTCCTTCTGTTCTCAGCACTAATGGGGTCACCCTCTCCATAATGAGCAAGACAGACTGGACAGAGGAAGGGCCTGGCAAGGAACATCTCACTCTGCATTGGACCAAAATATTGAGCAGGCTCTGCTCCTTGCCTTTTTCTTCCAGGAACTTGGAATGTGCCTGGCCTAACTAGTGCTCTTGGTGGGTCTTGTAGAAATTTCCTTCCAGCTCACAAAGCCTCAGACAAATCACTGTCCATCTTGGCTCGTTTATGCCATGAGGTTGGTTCTTCACCTGAAATTTGCCCAGGGGTGCATATAGCCACTATTCTGGGGCTGGTCTGATTGAAGCTGGAATGAAGGTCCTAACCTCTTGTTGCCTCAACCCTGAATTTTTATGTCCAAGATACACTAGTCCCTATGTGCTACCTGTTAGCATTTCACTGCTTCCTCAATGGGCCGCCTGGGGAGTTGCCCCAGAGCCATCCCCACGGCCTCCTAACCTTGTGGATGAGAAGGGGCAGGGCTTCCATCCGGCCTCCTTCAGACCTGGCCTGGAGGTTGCTCACGGTACCTCCTGGCATTCCCAGCACGGGCAGCCCTGGGGAGCAGAGTAGCGCGCACCACTGGGGCGCAGAGAGAAGGAGCTGACCAGGGACGTCTTTCCCCTCCCGCTGTGGACTCCGCTGAGATGCTTCCGTGGGACTGGCGGTTGGTTGGGAAGCCGTGGCCAGCGGTGATGCCTCCCCCCCCCCGCCGGATTTGCCGCACCCCTCCCCCCCCCGTTAGGCTCCTCTAGCGAGGCCCTGGGCGCTCACTCCTCTCCCCAGGGGGCTGTCACCGGTGTGGGCGCTGTCGGGGGAGAACTAACAGGGAGGGAGTTGGGAGTTTCTTACTCTACCTCGTTTATCACCACCGTACAACACGGCTGGAGGACTGGCTCCAAGTCCTCACCTGGCCCGGAGCGGCCGAGACCCCGCCGCAGCGCCCCTGCGCCGGCCCTCTCCCGACCTGCCAACGGTCCCGGCGGCCGAGCGCGCCCCCTAGGCCGCTTCTCCAGCCCGCGAGGCGAGCGCACAACGGCGCCTGCGCAGTGCCGCGGCCCGGCACGTGGGCCGCGCCCCTGCCCTGTGCGTGCCCCGAGCGCGACGAGCCGGTGGGCTGGGGCTGGGGCCGGGAGGCGGAGGAAGCGCCGGGACCGACCCGAGCTGCGCGGGGACCTGCCGCGGAGGCCAGAGGTGGGGGCGGTGGCCCCTCCGCGCGGGGCCCCCCGGGGCCGGGAGCGGGGGCGGCCGCCACACCCCCCGCGGGAAAGTGGGTGTGGCTTTGTTTCTTCTTTTGGCGTCTGCATTACATCCAAGTGTGTAGATTAAAAAAAATTTTTTCCCCCGGTTTTTCAGCTATTTTGGGGTTTTTCATTTTTTGGTGTGTTTTTTGGTTTTGCCACTACAGAAAGTATTTTGAATAGAGGACTTTGTGGTGTAGCGCGTTTATATCTGCACGATACAGGACGTGGAAAGGAAGCGGCATGTTTTACGTCTTCAAATAGCCGCCTTCAGTGATGCTCCGCCAAGGTCTGGCCTGTTTGCCGGCCCCTGGGCCTCTCCCGGGGCCGAGACGCCCCGCGTCTCACAACCTTGGCCCATTTAGAAGCCCCTGGGGCGTGTCATTGGAAACATCCTGATAGCAGCTGGACCAGTAATTCTGATGTGAGGGGTGCGGGCCCTGCTGAAACTAGAATTTTGGACATCAGGAGTATAGATGGATCAGCCTCCCTCACTTTTTTTTTTTTTATACTTTGTCAGGCTATTAGAATTTATTCTAAGTGAAACTTAAAATCATGTTACCTAATTTTCCCCATCCTCGCCAAAGAAAAAAGTTCCATTGTGACTTAAATTATAACTGCATTAAATTTAGATGAAGTTATAGGAGAGTTGACATTTTTATTACCTTAAATCTCCCCAGAGGATACAAAATGATTTTTCATTTGACTTTAGTCCTACAATAAGATTTTATAATTTCTTCATACAATTTTAATACTTTCTCATTTATTTCTAAGTGTGTAATGGTTTTTGTCAATACTGTGAATGGGATATTTTTTCCATCTCTGTTCCTGATTATTAATAATAGAGAAAAAGGCAAACACTAAAATAATTTATTTTCTGTTGTGAACTCTGGTAGTTTTTAAAAAATAAACTCTTTTATAGATGCAAATTTGCCAGTGCACCAATTTGCCATTTTACTTTTATTTTTTTAAGAGTGTGTGCAAGTGGAGTGGGGCAGAAGGAGATTAAGATAATCATAAGCAGGCCCCACCTGGAGACCATTGGCAGGGCTTGATATCACAGCCTGAGATCATGACCTGAGCCAAAACCAAGAGTCTGAAGCTTGGGGCACCTGGGTGGCTTAGTCATTTAAGCTGCTGCCTTGCGCTCCGGTTGATCCTGGGGTTCTGGGATTGAGCTCCATGTCCGGCTCTCTCCTCAGCCAAGAGCCTGCTTCTCCCTCTCCCCCTCCCTCCAACTTGTGCTCTCACTCTCTCTCTCAAATAAATCTTAAAAAAGAAAAGAAAAGAATCTGAAGCTTAACTGCCTGAGCCACCCGGGTGCCCTGTCATTTTGCTTTGGCTAGAACTTCTGAAATGGATGAAACAATGGTGAATAATTCTCTGGGTCTTGTTTCTGATGAGATGGAAATCCACAAGTTAGAGTTGAGCAGAATATTAGCTGATGGTTTTGGTGAATGGCCTTTTAAGGTGTGGAAAGAGTTTCTGTCTCGTTAATGTTGGGGCTTCAGGGATGGAGCTGTGGCTGCTGGTCTTACCTGAGTGGAGTACCAGGGCATGCTGGTTACATAGACTGAAACGTGGCTTGGGGGGCACACAATTGTCAGACATACAACCTCAACTGTCAAACAATGAGTTTTTTTCCCTTTAAGCTGTTTTAACAGTCATTTTTATTAGACATTGTGTTGCTACAAAAGAATACTGTATAAAATATATGGAAAGAATATGCAGTGTATACCTATCATCTTGTTTTTTGAAAAGCAATATACTTACCTTATAAATCTGTGTGCCTCTCCTGGGTCCTCTCCCCCTTCCTCCTTGCCCAACAGTAACCACCATCCTGAATTTGATGTACATATTTGTTTTTGCTTTTTTAAAAAATTTTTATTTTTATTTATTCATGAGAGACACAGAGAGAGGCAGAGACCTAGGCAGAGGGAGAAGCAGGCTCCCCACAGGAAGCTCAATGCAGGAATCCATCCCCAGACCTGGAATCATGCCCTGAGCCAAAGGCAGACGCTCAACCGCTGAGCCCCCAGGTGTCCCCGTTTTTTGCTCTTTAAAAACTTTTACCACCTCAGTTTGTATTCCTAAGTAATTGTTTTGTTTTGCATGTTTTTGAACTCGAGTAGACATCACATTTACTACTTTGCAACTTGCTATTTCTTTTTGATATTGTTCCAGAAGTCCATGTTGTTAGATATAGCTGTAATTTATTAATGTTCACTACCATATGGTGTTCTATCGCAGCTGAATATTATAAGGTAATGAACAATGAATCACCCTAGAATGGAATATATAATTCTTTTATCCAGGTCTCTGTGACTGGCATTTGGGTTGTTTCTAGTTTTTTTGCTATTACAGTACAGCTGTGGACATTCTTGTTTATGTCCTCTCTGTTGCATACATTATCTTTGGAAGAGACTTGTTGAATCATACAGGTAATACCCCTTTCAACTTTACTAGGTAATGTCAAAATTATTTTCAAAAGCATTTATATGTGTTTACATGCTCTCATGCTAAGTTCTTCATTTCTCTACTTCCTCACCTACACTTGATATTGCTAAACTAGATTTTTTTTTTTGTCAGTCTGATGGGTATGTGGTGGTAGGTCATTGTGGTTTGTATGTTTATTCATTTATTTATATTTATTTGTTTTGTCATAGTTTAATTTGCATTTCCCTGATTTCTCATGTAATTGTGTACCTTTTCTTGTCTACTGACCATTTGGATTTCTTCTTTGATAAGTTGTTTGCTCAAAACTTTTGACCATTTTTTCTGTTATTGTCTTATTTATTTGTTTTGTATATTCTGGATACAAGTTCCTTGTAAGTTATGTTGCAGATTTCCACTGCTTCCTTTTAGAAACTCTTTTTAGAGAGTCTTGATGAGTAGAAGTAATTTTAGTGTAGATTAATTTACCAATCTTTTTTATAGTTTGCATTTCTTGTAGCTTGTTTCAGGAAGTTCTTCCCTATGATGAAGTCATGAAGATACTATTTTATGTTATCCTATAGAACCTTTGTAGTTTTGTCTTTCACATAGAGATCTTTAATTCACCTGGAATTGACTTTTGTGTATGGTATGAGGTAGAGATTCAATTCCTTACTAATTCCTGATTGTCCCCATACCCTTTAATGAAAAGTCTTACCTTTCTCTATTAATTTGCAATGCTATCTCTTATATATCAAATGTTCATATATGTGTAAATCTGTTTCTAGATTTTTATTCAGTTACATTTGTCTGTTATCTCTTTCTCTGTGCCAATACCACACTGATTTATTACCATTTAACAATAGGCTTTTATATCCAGTAGAGCCAGTTTGACCACTTTATGCTTCAAGAGTGTTTGACTATTTTTGGTCCTTTGCATTTCCATATAAATTTTAGAATCATTTAATCAGGCTCTATGAGAAAACCTGCAGGAGTTTCACTGGAATTAATTATAAGTCATCAGTTTGAGAAAAATTGATATTTATGTCTTCCAAACCATGAAGATAGTATTACTGTCCATTAATTTAGATTTTTCTTTAGTGTCTCTCAAGAAAATACTATACATTTCCCTTTAGAGGTCTTATATTTTCTTGATCAGATATATCCTAGGTACCTGGTGGTTTCTGATGCTATTGTAATTTATACAATAAACTTAAAACTTCATTTTCTGACAGTTTGTTGCTAATACATAAAGATATAATTGATTTTCATATGTTCGAATTTATCTTTGTATTCTTTTTTTTAAAACATTGTATTTATTTGAGAGGGAGAGTGAGGAAGTGAGAGGAAGAACATGAGTGGAGTGGGGATGGGGAGATGGGAGAAGCAGAGGAAGAAGACTCCCCACTGAGCAGGGAGTCCAATGTGGGGCTTGATCGGGGACTCCAGGATCATGACCTGAGCCAAAGGTAGATGCTTAACTGACTGAGCCACCCAGGGGTCCCTAATTTACCTTTAGATTTGTTTCAGTTTTGCAATATCGTCTGTGAGCAATGATAATTTTGCCAATCCTCATACTTCATGTATTTTTCTTGCCTTATTGCATTGGCTAGGGCTGCCAGTACAATGTTGAATGTAAAGGGTAAAAGCAGTTTTTTTGTTGTTTGTTGTTTGTTTGTTTCTTATCTCATAGACAAAGCTTTCTTCTCCTTCTCCTTTTTGGGTAGATACCATTCATCAGATTAAGGAAGTTTCCATTCTGATTTTTAAGCATTTTTTCCTTTTAAGTATCATTGATGTGTGTTGAATTCTATCTAAAGTATATTCTGCATCCATAGAACTAACCACGTAGTGTACTTAGTTAATGTAGTGAATTACATTCGTCAGTTTTTCTTAGGGTAAACTAACTTTGTATTTCTAGAATAATGATTGTAAGTTTTCTATATTTCTAGACTTTTGTTTTGAGTTCTACCATCGCTAGTTTGTAATTTTCCTCTCTTCTACTGTCCTTGTTAGGTTTTGGTGACCAGATTATACTAGCCTCAAGAAATGAGTTAGGGACTATTTCTTCTACTCCTGGAATAGTTTCTGTAAGGCCGGTTATCCCTTGGTTAGCTGTGCCTGTAGTTTTTTATGTATATGTGAAGGGAAGTTTTTAAACTGATTTTTAAAAATGGATATACTGCAGCTCGGGGTTTTCTAATTTTTGAGTCAGTTTTAATTTAGATTTGTCTAGAACTTCATTTCAGTTTTTAAAGTTAATGTTAAAAGATGTTTGTAATATCCTTATTTGACAAAATTTGTAGCATCTATGTCTTTATTTCAAATACTGTTTTTTAGGTTCATCTATCCTCTCTCCTTCATTTTCTGTCTTATTAGTGAAATTTGTCAATTTTAGGTTTTCAGAGAATCAACCTTTGATTTTATTGTCCTGTTATGTTTATTTTCTTTAATTTCTGATTTTTATTTCCTTTGAGTTCATTTTAGTGTTCATTTTCTTGCTCAAATTGGATGGTTAGCTCATTATTTTTTAGTCTTTTTTTACAACATGAGCTTTTAATGCTATATATTTTTCTCTAAGTACTGCTTTATCTTATGTTTTGATATTTAGCATTTTAATTTTTTTTTAATTTTTATTTATTTATTTATGATAGTCACAGAGAGAGAGACACGCAGAGACATAGGCAGAGGGAGAAGCAGGCTCCATGCACCGGGAGCCCGATGTGGGACTCGATCCTGGGTCTCCAGGATCGCGCCCTGGGCCAAAGGCAGGCGCCAAACCGCTGCGCCACCCAGGGATCCCAGCATTTTAATTTTTAACTGTATTTTATAATTTCTGTGGTTTTTCTTCCCTGACCCATTAATTATTTAAATGTGTATTTCTAAATGTTCAAGAATGGCTTTATTTTCTAATTGCATTTTTGTTAATTGATTTTGAACTGTCTTCATTTTGGTCTAAGAATGTGATCTGTATACTAGTCTTTTGAAATTTGCTGAGGCTTTAAACTGGTCCAAATATGTGGTTAATACTCAAAAATGTTCCATGTACATTTCAAAAAAAAATCTATATTATAGTTATTTTTTAAAAGATTTTATTTATTCATAGAGACACTGAGAGAGAGGCAGAGAGAAGCAGAGGGAGAAGCAGGCTCCATGCAGGGAGCCCAATGTTGATCCTCAGACTGTGCGATCACACCCTGAGCTGAAGGCAGATGCTCAACTACGGAGCCACCCAGGCATCCCTGTATTCTGCAGTTATCTGCCCATTACATCAAGTTTGTTAATTGTGCTGTTGGAAACATTGCTGTTATTTTTTTGCCTATCTGAGCTCTCACTACAGGGAGAGGTATATTATAATCTTCCATTATGATTGTGGATTTATCTATTTCTCCTTACTATTCTGTTTTACTTTATTTTGAGATGTTATTAGGTGCATAAAAGTTTTAGAACTTTGTGAATTTTATCTTTTATCTTTATAAATTGACTTTTTTATTTCTAGGAGTGGACATATAGAAATACACATTTCTTTAAAATCTATCTTGTCTGTATTCAGTTTATACTTGTAAGTAACATATAGTGAGATTTTTTAAATTCCAGATATTTTTATTCTTACCCAAAGATGTAACTTACTTAAATTTTGTGTATTTGATGCATTATTGACTTATTTTTCTTATTTTGTAATTTTTATTCCACCTTATCTGCATTCCTTTTTCCTCTTCCTTTTAGATTGACTGAAATTCCCCCCCCACACACACACACACACATATACTGTTTTCCCTTGTTTTGGAAATCTGTTATTCTTCCTTTAGCAATTACTCTGTGCTTTTTACCTAATACTTAACTCACCAAAGTCTAACTCCTCAAGACTCTTAATATTGTCTTAGTAAGTTTTTATTAATACCTTTATTTTCCTTTGGATCCTGAAAGATATTTTTACTGGGAATACTAATCTTTTCTACTTTGGAGAAATAACTTTTTCCTTCTTTCTTAGGAGGTCAGCTCTTGCCTAATCAATGCTCATTGAAGTCATTCCCACCACCCACCCCAAATCTGGCTACTTTTAAGATTTCATTGTTTTAAGAGTCTTGCCATTTCACTGTATTGTATTTAGCTATGGATGTCTTTTTATTTTCCTGATGAGGATTTGTTGAGATTGACTCTGTATATTGGTCTTTCTCATGACTTCTTGGTAATAGTTATTTATTTTTATTTTTAAAATATTTTATTTATTCATGAGAGACACACAGAGAGAGGCAGAGACATAGGCAGAGGGAGAAGCAAGCTCCTCCCGTGGAGCCTGGTGTGGGACTTGATCCCCAGGCCCCGGGATCATGCCCTGAGCCCAAGGCAGACACTCAACTGCTGAAACACCAAGGCGTCCCATCTTGGGAATTTTCAAATAATTAAGCTGAAGGCAGCAGCTTAAATGACTAAGCCACCCAGGTGCCTCAAGCTTCAGACTCTTGGTTTTGGCTCAGGTCATGATCTCAGGCCATGATATCAAGCCCTGCCAATGGTCTCCAGGTGGGGCCTGCTTAAGATTAACTGTCTCCTCCCTCTGCCCCACCCCACTTGCACTCTCTCTTTAAAAAAAAAAAGTATTAAAAATTATTTTCAGAAGCGTTTGTATATGTTTAATGTTTACATGCTGTCATGCTAAGTTCTTCATTTCTCTACTTCCTCACCTACACTTGATATTGCTAGAGTTCTGCTCTATTTTGATTAGACACATATGGGATCTTCTCACTTTACTCTCTATGTGTCTTCTTTTTCATATTTTTCATATCTTTGTGTTTATTCTGAATACTTTATTCAGATATTACTTCTGTGTCACTAATATGCTCTTTAGTAGTGTAATATTATAAAGTTATTATTTTAAATGATTTTTAAAGAGCTTTGTAAAAATATTGTTCATTCATTTTCAGGAATGAAAATTCTAGAAAACCTCTATTTCTAGGAATATATTATGTGTGCTTATTTTACCTTCTGTCTGATAATTTCACTATATGGAGAAGTTTTATGTCTGATTCTGCTGTTATTTCAGTTGGCCTGTGCTCATGGGCCAACTTGTGTGTTGTGTTTCCTTGTATGTTTAGAGATATCACACTGTAAGGTATTCATTTTCTTTACAATTTCCTATTTGGGATTCCATAAGCCTGGAATGAAGGGGAGAGCCTCCAGAGAGGATTTCTTTGCTTCTCTCATGTGACTCTGGGGACATTGCCAATTTGAGACCATATTATACTCTCTGCTAGAGGTTTTACTGGATATCCAGGTAGCATATATTTTGCTATAAAACCAAACTACGTGGGGATCCCTGGGTGGCTCAGCAGTTTGACGCCTGCCTTTGTCCCAGGATCGAGTCCCATGTCAGGCTTCCAGCATGGAGCCTGCTTCTCCCTCCTCCTGTGTCTCTGCCTCTCTCTTTCTCTATGTCTATCATAAATAAATAAATTAAAAAAACAAACAAACAAACTACGTGAGGGTCTGCTCTGGATTACAAATTCTTAGGGGATTCTTTTCTGCTGTGCTTAGGACTAATCTTTAAGACAAACAATTTTCCTGTATTTGATTTTGGATTCATTATATCAAAGGTATACACTTTTGGGAGTCCAGCTTTATAGAGGACATCTCCTATTACATACCCTACCTTGGAAGGTCATTTGAGGGAGTTGAAACTTAAGTTCATTGGCTATGAGGGAAAAGCAGACTTCAGAGCTCTTCTTACCTTTCCACGTTTCTACAGTCATTTACTACTTGGCCCGAGTATTCTTTATATTCTTTCCAACTCATGGATGCTTTTAAGATATTTTAAAATTTTATCTAGCATGCCTAGTTTTACACAAGGGTGGTTGATTAATGATTTACAATGAAAAGCTTCCCAATACTGACACATTCTTGCATTTCTGTGGTAACCCTAAGTTAAGTTGGGCATGGATTTACCAACCTGAGTTATCAATCTTTGGTATGTGGCAGGATTTTCTTTGCTATTTGGATTTTTGAAAATTCTATTTTTTAAAAAGATTTAATTATTTGAGAGAGTATGAGCAGGGGAGGGGCAGAGGGAGAGAGACAGGGAGACTCACTGGGGAGTCCCATGCAGGGCTTGATCCCAAGATCCCGAGATCATTACCCGGGCTGAAGTCAAAAGCTTAACCAACTGAGCCACCCAGGTGCTTGAAATACATATTATATTTTCATGCTGTCTTTTCCAGGTTTTGTTGTTGAAGTTAGGTTGGCCAGCTTCATAAGAAGAATCAGAAACTGCATTGGGGTGTCTGCTACACTTTGACATTTTTCTATCTGGTGTCCTTTACCCATGTCATGCTGAGCACCAGCTCTGGGGGTAAGGGAACGTCAGGCCTCCTCCCCCACAGTCTGTCAGGAGCAAGGACTTGGACTCTCACGTTTGTGGGAGCAGGAGTTTCCTGGGCCCCTAGGTTCAGCTCTTTCCAGTTGTATCTCTGAGGCCCTCTCACAATTGCTGCTGCAGCCGCACTTCCCAGTGGCTCTAGGGAGTATCCTCCTAAACTTTTGCTCTGGCTGGGCCTTCTGGCCTGGAATTAATTCAACACCTATTTACAGATCATCTCCTCAGTCACTGGGGATGCTATAGTGTGTAAGACAGACACGATTCCTATTCTCATGAAGCTCACAGTCCATTGTGAGGTGGGGGAGGCAGTCAACAAACGAATAAACTATATAGTATGACACACTGTGCCAGAAGTGCAGTGGAGAAAAAGGAAGCAATTTGATGGTAGCTTTCCAGCATGTTCGGGTATCTGCAGGTCAAGTCCATGTCTTCTACCTTCTCAAGAATTGCTCAGTTACTTTCCCATGTACAGTTCATCATCCACTCCTCAAGTGTTTAAAAATATTCATAGGATTTGGATTTGGATCCTGTTGGATTTATAGATTTGGGAACAACACACAACAGCTGGCCATCTGTGAAGATGGTGTTTTCTCTTTTAACTCAGGTCTTCTCGGTCATTGAGTAAAATTTTAAAGTTGTATCTATGAAGGTCTTTGCATCTTTTGATCAGATGTATTTTGAGGCCCCTTATAGCCTATGGTGCAGAATCTTTTTTCCTATGACCTTGTCTACTCAGTGATGGCTGGTGGATAGACTGAGGAGTGTAGGCTGATCTCCTGTGATCAGGTTAGAGGGGTTCAAGAACATCAACCTGATGTCATTCCCTGTTCAGAGCTCTGCCTGACTTCACTCCAGGCTCTTCCCTCACCTTATCTCAGTGGCCTGGCTTTTGTCACCTCTGGTCTTTGCCCACGTAGTCCATCTTGGCAGACCCTCTTCCACTGCCCCGTGTTCAGGTTTACTGTGGGGTTGCCTCACCCACCCTGCACCTCTGGCCAGTGAGAGCTGCAGGACTCACAGTGCCTGCCTCCCCACAGGTGGGAAGGCAAGGCCCTGGTAAGGAAGGAGCTGTGCAGGGGCAGCCTTGGATCGCACAGCACTGGGGCTTCAGGGCAGGAGACTGGAGCATGGCTGCGATGCTCTTGTGGTGCCCTGCCCCGACCCCATCCTTCACCTGGAAGCACTGTCAGTGGGAAGCCCCCTCACAGTGGGCCAGGCCCAGCTGCTCTTGGCCAGACCTGGGAGCTAGTGATCTGAGTTGCTTAGCAACCTGGGACAACAAAAGCCTTCCAGGTCATGGTTGCCCAGTAACCCTGGAACTCACCAAAGTGAGCTTCCCTCCGAGAGAAGAGCACGAGAGAAGAGCACGGTGGGTGCCTTGGCTTGGCCCCAGAGAGCCCCAGGCAAAGCTGTGAGCCTTCCCCTAGGTTATATCTCTGCCCTCTGCAGCCTTCCTGTCCCAGACCCTGTCTCAACAGGTCTTCCACCCTCCTCTTTTCCCTCCCCATTCAGATCAACTTTCCATTGCGTGCCTCAGTGGAGAGCAGAACAAAGTCCCAGGCTCTGCCCCCATGCTGCCTCATAGGCTGTCACCTGTTCTGCATCAGCCCTGATCCACCCAGTCACAGACACATTCAGGGACAGGTCCTTGGAAAATAACAAATCCAAGGTTTTTATTACCGGTCAGAAGGTGCTACCTCACAGTGTGAGAAGAGGTACATTGCACAGCTCTACTTGCAGGCCTGGTGGGGTCACCCAGCCCACCCTGCCTGCCCTGCCTCTTGAGTGGGCACCCTAAGGCATTTCATATGTTGGTGTTTTCACTTTTGTTTTCTTATAAAAACAAAACCAGTCCTGGAGTATACAGAAAAAAACCCTGTGATGAATTTTCAGGACCAAACTTAAATGGGAGGGGTTGGAGTGGGGGTTCTGAAGGGCCGGGACAGTGGCCATACTGGCTCAGTCCCCCCACCAATCGAAAGGAGCTGTTGGAAGGGGATCCGAGGAGAGGGCGGGGCACAGCTGACAGGAGGGCCAAACTCAGACAGGAGTGCACCCTGTCTTCATCATTTTTTAGCTTTCACATACCATAGAAATTTAAGCAAAATAGCTATTTTTTATATATTAATATATCTCATATATATATAAATCAGGCAAATAAGGAGTTCAGGGGGTGTGGAGATGGGCACTCCGGAGGTGCCTGAGGCCGAGGCGGGACACTGGGTCTCTGGTGCCTGGGGGCACTAGCCCAGGCTGAGCCGAGTGTTCTTATTGCTGATTTGGGGCCTGGTTCTGGGGTGGGGAGCACCTGCAGGCCCTGCCCCCCAGCCCATCCCGGCCTCTGGGGCGAGGGAGCAGCCCTCACATGGCCAAGGCTAGGCAAGGGGCTGTTGCCCTCAAATCTACGTGGGGGCCCCTCAGTGCCCCCTCCCCCACAGTGGGTGCAGCTGTAGCTCCAGAGACAACTGACCTGTGGTCTCCTGGGCCAGGTGGCCCCTCCAGTTCCCTTCTCTGTGGAGTCCGTGCTCCCAGTGACTGGGCAGCCGTGACACAAACGTGGCCCTGCTATGTCAAGCTACAAAATGCTCCCTGCTCAAAGGGGTCTGGCTTCCTGATGTCTTAAAAAGAAGGGGCTCTTGCCAGGACACATTTGTGGCAAGAAAGCACACTTAGAAAGTTGTCTGCTAAGTGTTGTACTAAAAATATTTACTAAACGTCTTGGCTGGAAAGAAATGGAGATAGTTTTTTCTAAAAAAGTCAAAAGTGGCTCCTCAGGAGGAGCCAGTGCCTCCCTGGGTGGGGCTGGTGACTGGGGCAGCCCAGGACTTGGGCCAGCCTGCCTGAGTTGTGGTAACTGGGAGCTGGGGTCCCACTGGGACCCAAGTCCACAATGAAGGGGCTCTGGTGACCCGGAGCACCTGGGGGCTGAAGAGAATGCAGATCAGCACTTCCTCCTTCCAAGGTGGGAGCCCCAAAAAAGTGTTTAAAAAAAAAAAGGCGAGGGTGGGAAGGTTTGGGGGGAGGGCCACTGAGTACTAAATTGAGTGCATTAAAGAAGAGGTGGACCAGGCTGTGCAGGCGCCTGTATTTGCAGGAGAGGTGGCGCTCAGAAGATGTTGGGGCACATGTGCCAGTCCTGCCTCTCCTTGGCCTCCCAGTAGCCGCCCTTGTATATGCAGGCCGTCTCCCCGGTCAGCGGGTCCAGCCTCTTCTCGAACCACAGCGGCATGTACACATCGGCCTCCTTCTCTGCTGGACGGGCACATGGGCGGGCGGGGGGGTGGGCGGGGGCCTCCTTCCTGGTCCACCCCCTTCCCCATGCCCCGCCTCCCTGTCCCCCTCCCTGTCCCCTCCGCCCCCCCGATTCCCTTCCTTCCAGGAAGGAGCCGCTCCCCAGCCCCAGGGTACCTTCTCTCGGCCTGCGCCCAGCCTCACCTTCCTCGGCACCACAGCCCCGCGAGCAGGCCTCCAGCCTCCGGCGCCTGGACACGCGCTGTTTCTCCTCCAGCCGCTGCTTCTCGCTGTTGGCCTCGTCCCAGTGCCCCTTCTCCATCAGCCGCTGGTCGGGCCGCAGGCGGCTGTCGGTGGGCGCCACGCCCTCCTCGTGCTCGTTGAGGGTCAGGGCCAGCTCCGAGAAGTAGTACATGTTCTCCGCGTTCTCCCTGCGCGGGAGGGGGGGGGGTGAGCGGGGGTGAGCGGGGCTGAGCGGGGCTGAGAGGGGCTGAGCGCCCTGCACCTGCACGGGCCCCGCCCCGGCCCCGCCCCGAGCGGCCCCGCCCGCTGCTCCCGCCTGGCTCCTTCCTCCTACCCTGGCCCTACCTCGCCCGCTCCACGCACCTGCCTCTAGTTTTGCTACATTCTACTCCTCTGGGAATCAGCGCATTTCCACCAGTTTTTCAACTAGATCAATGCGAAGTTGTTTCCAATCTCATCACTAATGCTTTTCACGTCTGGGACTGGCGATGTCCTCCCTTCACATCTGTGAGGTTGGCGCCTCTCCCCACTCTGCAGGCCTGGCCAGGTGCCTCCACGCTCTTCATTGGTTGAAGGTGAAATTTTGTTGACTCTCTTTTAGGTTTCTCTGCTTTACTGAGTTTGCCTTTATAGTCCCTGCCCCTTTATGCAGTTACATTTTCTGATGTCCACCGTATCTTCTTAGATCCGTGGATTAGTTGGAAGTTCATTTCTTGAATTTATAAACATCTGGGGATTTTTTCTAGTCACCTTTATTTCTAGTATAATTGCCTTGGAAACAGACAATATACTGGCATAATCTTAGTTCTTTGAAATTTGCTGAAAGACGCAGTCAGTGTATGATCAGTTTTTGCAGATGTTCCATGTGTACCTGCAGAGAATGTTTCCTACAGTTGTCCAGTAGATTCTATGGTTTAAACTCTTTATTTTGTTTGTTTCTAGCCATTACTAAGAGGGTTTTGTTAAAATGTCCTACTTTGGTTGTAAATTGATCCCTTTCTCCTTGTCTTTCTGCCAACTTTTGCTGTTAATATTTTGAGGCTATGTTTTTTAAGCACAGGATATGTTCAGATTTAAAGCTCATCTTAGTGAATTGAGCCTTTATCATTATGTCCCTCTTAGCTCCTGTCTTACCTTTTGTTTTAAAGTCTGTTTTGCAACATTAATATAGCTACAGCAGCTTTTGTTTGTTATTTCTGTGAACATATCTTTTTCCATCTTGTTATTCCAGTCTTTTTTCACTTTCTTACTTAGATGTATCTCTCATAAACCAGGTATAGTTGGATTTTTAAAACATATCTGAAATCTCATACCTGTAATGAGAGTAATTAATGTAATTACTGATATATTGGATTTAAGTCTATCTTTTTTTTTTCCTTTTTGTTCACTTTTTTGAATGTCAGGTGTACAGCTTTGGATTAGTCATGATCCCTTTTATGTGACACCCTCTTTTTATTGGTCCTTGCATGCCTCGCTTGTATTAATGCAACTTAACCACCAGAAGAACCTCTAAACAAAAGGTAGAATCCTGACAAAACCTACATCTAACCATATGGAAAACTCACCAATCTATCCCCTCCTCAGGCAGCTGTCAGAAAGACTCCTGGGCTCATTAGTCCCTTGCTTACCTTTTAATATAATTTTATTGAATATTTAAATAGTATTCAATGTGCATGTATGTGTGTACTCATATACTTATATTTACATACTTGTTTTTAACCGTATAAAAAAGAATATCATGATGTATGTAATAACCTTCTGGGACTTTTTTTTATTATATTACTAAAATTTATATTGTTGCATATTTCTGTGGTTCATTAGTTTCAATGCATGAATATTACTGTGTAATATTGCCTCCTGTGAATAATACCACAGTTATTCGTTCGGTAGATCTGGGTTGTTTACAAGTTTTTGCTTTGGAGTAATATTATGCACGTTTCCTGTTGTACGTTTGCAGGAATTTCTCTTGAGTGGAATTGCTGGGCTATAGCGTCCGTGGCATGCTTCTTTAGGAGGTAAGGCTAACCTGCTTTTCAACATGGTGGCACCAATTCACATCCTCACCAGCGATGTGTAAGAGATATCGTGGATCTACATCTTCTTCCACACTTGATACTGTCAGGTTTTTTTTGTTTTTTTTTTTTTTTTTAAAGATTTTATTTATTTATTCATGATAGACACAGAAAGAGAGAGGGAGGCAGAGACACAGGCAGAGGGAGAAGCAGGCTCCATGCCGGGAGCCCGACGCGGGACTCGATCCCGAGGCTCCAGGATCACACCCTGGGCCAAAGGCAGGCGCCAAACCGCTGAGCCACCTAGGGATCCCCTACTGTCAGGTTTTTAATTTTTCTTTAATTGAATGAAGGCAAGATGGTCTCATGTGGCTTTGATTTGCATTCCCCTGTTTACCAATGATGTTGATCATTTTCATATGATGACTGGTCACATGTATTAATTCTTGTGTGAAATTCTTCCTCATGGCTCTTGGGCTTTTTCTTCCGGATTGCTTTTGCTTTATTCATGTATTAGGTATTCTTGACTTTTTTTTTTAGTTATTATTTTCAACTGTGGTCGAATACTTTTTTATGTATTCTCAATACTGATCTGTTGTTGGGTATTAAGTGTTATGATTATCTTCTGCAAGTTTATATACTGTATTTTCACTTTAAATTGTCATTTAATGAGCAAAACTTCTTTTAATGAAAAAATATTTTAATATAGTTCAGTACATCAGTACTGTTCTGTGTCTTAAGATCTATTTCCCTAAGGTCTAAAAGAACTCATCAGTATTTTCTCCTTAGAGTTTAACTTATTGTTTAACAGCAAATCAGGCTTAATACTTTTTCTAAGACTTTTATGTAGAGCCAATTTCTATTATAATGTCAGGGAGAGATTCAGTTAATCTTTTTCCATATGGATAACCAGTTTCCTAATTTTTTTTTAGGGAAAAATGCCATCTTTCCACATGATCTCACATCACCTTTGTTACATACCAAAGATATATACATCCATGGGTCTGTTTCCCAGGCTCACTGTTCTTTATTTTTATTTTTATTTATTTATTCTTGAGAGACACAGAGAGAGGCAGAGATGTAGGCAGAGGGAGGAGCAGGCTCCAGGCAGGGAGCTCGATGTGAGACTCGATTCCAGGACTGTGGGATCGTGCCCTGAGCCAAAGGCAGACGCTCAACCACTGAGCCACCCAAGTGCCCTGGGCTCACTGTTCTATTGCAGCTTCAAAATAAGTCATGATATCTAGAATAGGGCTAGTGCTTATTCCTCTGTTGTTCTTCAGACATGTTTTGGCTCTCTGTTCTTCAGTATAAACTTAAAAATCATAATATCAAGCAATGAAAATCACTGTTGGGATTTTGTTTGATCTACTCTTTAAATCATAACATCTTTGTAATACTAAGTCTTTCTTCTTTCTTCTGGTTTATATATTGACCTTTCTCTAATTTCTTAGATTAGAAACTCAGAAAAAAAAAAAGTCTCAAAATGAACGAGCTTATATATGTGCCTGTTTAAGGCAATCCGTTTCCTATGAAGCATCACCTTTGTTACATCTATTCTCATTAAATTTTAAGTATTTTATGATAAGATTTTATTTATTTGAGAGAGAGAACAAGCAGAGGGAGAAGGAGAAGCAGGTTCCCCGCTAAGTAGGGAGCCTGACTTGGGGCTTGATTCCAGGACCCTGGGATCATGACCTGAGCTGCAGGCAGACACTTAACTAACTGAGCCACCCAGGTGCTCCAATTTAGGTATTTTAAATTTTTCATTCTAATTTATTATTTTACGCATGCGTTATTTAGCAACTTAACAATTTTTTCCAAACATGTGGGGACTTTCTGTCATCTTGTTCATAACTTCTGAATTAGTTGTCTTATCACAGATGTGGTCTATATGCTACCCTCTAATTCTGTTGAGTCTTTCTTTAAGGTTCAATACACAATAGATCTTCATATACATTTGGTGTCTACTGGGGTAAAAAGTAAAAAGTCTCTGATACAACTGCAAGTATGTAGATATCCTGTGCTGTTTTGATCTCAGATGCTTGCTGATCCCCTCACCTCCCAGCCCTGCTCTGCATCTGACTGATCAACAAGTGGGAAAGGTGTAATGAAGTCTCTATGTCTCCCATCGTGGTAATGGATATATCAATTTCTCCCTTTAATATCAATATATGCTATGTGTATTTTTGAGGCTGTTTCATCACATGCATAGTGAAACTCATATTTTCTGAAGAACTCAAACTTTTGTCATGTAGCAACTCTTCCATCCCTAATGATGCTTTTGTCTTATTAAAGTCTATTTTATTTGATATTAACATAGCTCTTACAGTTTTTTCAGTTAGGTATTCCCATGATGTCTTTTACTTTCAACCTCTGCATGTCTTTGTTTTTGACATTTCTTAGAAGGTGCATGTATCTGGATTTTTAAAAATCCACTCAGTATTTTGCTTTTTGACTAGTGAGTTTCACCTGTTTTTATTTGTTATGCTTGGGCCTATTCCTACTGTGTTGATTTACTGTTTTTATTTGTCCTTTTTTCTTTTCATCTTTTCTTACTATTTTAAACATATTTGTCTCTTCCTTCTAATAAGAACATAGTGATCCTTCACATTCCTTGATGCCGTCTCCACTCTCCTCAGACCCTGTCATGTTAACATTATCTACATCTTAAGTTCTGGATTATTATGGGAGTTTTTTCTCTTCTACTGTGGTCTTAGTAAAGCAGCTTCTGGATTTTTTTTCTCCCCCTTTCAAAGTACTAGGAACACCTGGGTGGCTCAGTTGGTTAAGCATGGACTCTTGGTTTTGGCTCAGGTCACGATCTCAGATCATGAGATTGAGCCCCAGGTCAGCTTAGTGTTGGGCATGAAGCCTGGTTAAGATTCTCTGTCTCTGCCTCTTCCTCGGCCTCCCCTCCCTCCACCATCACCCCTCCCACCCCCGCTCACTCTCTTTCTCATTCCTTCTCTCTCTAAAACAAATAAATAAAATGCTTTTTCTTTTTCTTTTTTTTTTAAATGCTTTTTCTAATACAATTTTCTTTTTTTCTTTCTTTTTTTTTTAAATTTTTTTAAAGTTCTAATACCGTTTTCATTGTGGGTTTTGTGTGGCAAACCTTCTGAGGTTGTTTGCCTGATGACATTTTCTGTTGTTGTTGTTAATGTTCTCGCATTTAAATGATAGTTTGGCTGGATAAAAATCTTAACCTTCTAATTTTGTTTTCTTCTACTTTGAAAATATTACTCCAGACATTGGCTATTGAAAGATGTTGATCTTTCTGATTTGTCAGTCTGATTCTTTATCCTTCATTGTAATCTTCTTGCATTCTTCTCTGGAAGCCATTAGAATCTTCTCCTTGGCATTTTAAATTTTCACTGTAGTATGGTTTGGGTGAAAGCTTTTACCTCTGGTGTCTGAAACCCTACAGGCCCTTCAACACAAGGTCTCCCATCTCTTTGTTCTTATTCTGGGAAATGTAGCTGCATTATTTAATTATTTCTTTCTTTTCCTTTGTTTTTGTTTTTGTTTTTTTGTCTTTCTTTTTCTTCTGGGATTTCAATTAAACATTGTTGTAATGATTATTCTGGGAATTATAACAAGCAGCCTTCACACAGCCAAAAGTTAACATACCTTCTTGACCTTCTTCTTGGGTAGTGCAAAGGCCTTTGAGAAGTTTCCTTTCATTTATCCCTCTTCTGACTTAAGTGATCACATAGTTATATTTTATGTTTAGAGTCTAAATTCCACAAGACATCATCACCATTCCTGTTTAGTTACTGTTCACTTAGGTTCACATAGTTTTGGTTCTTTTTTCATTCATACAACTCAGTGCTTCCATTTGGGACCACTTTCCTTCCACAGGAGATGTATCCTTTAATGTGGGTCTGCTGGTGGCAACATGAGTTTTTATATGTCTGAAAATAAAATACTTTAAAAATAAAATACTTTAAAATTCTGTAAAGGTGTTCTCGCTGGGTGTGTATGACTGTACGCTGTCAGGGAGTCTTTCTGCACATGGAAGGTCTCATTCAGCGGTCTCCAAGCCTCCATCATCGCGGAGGTGGAGGAGACACAGCTGTCACTCTGCTACTCCACAGAAAGTCACACGTGTCTTTTTCACAACTGGCTGCTTCATACTTTCTATTTGACTTAGTTTCAGCATTTCTACTATAGATTTGGTGTGGAAGATTCCCTGCAGTTTGCTCCTCAGCTATGGTCTCTTTCCTTCTGGACTCTGACTAGAAGTATGCTAGACTCTGCTCACTAGCCTGACGTGTGGCTAGCCACCCCAGGGGTCTTCCTGAGATTCTGGGCTCCCAGGGCTGCTGCTCCAGGGACTCACTCGGGGCCCTGGTGGTGAGCTTTCTCTCTGTTAGCTTTTTGTCTTTTCCAGGTCTTGTCTCTTTAGCTGACCTATATTCAGTTGATGGATTCTATTCAACCTTCCCAATGGGGGTTCTCAAGTTCAGTTACTTAATTTTTCCTTTGTAAAACTTCTGTTTTGCTCTCTTTGGAACCTGCCGTACCACTTTTTATAGTCTTCTGTTTCTTGCATTTGGTTTTTGTTCCTTGGACTGTGGGACTGACTCTGTCCTTACCAGCCCGTTTAAAGCCTTCACAGGACTTGCTACCACTTGATATGGCCATGCTTACTTATACCTGGGTGTCTGTCTCCCACACGGGGGTGTCAGCTGCAGAACACGGCCTCTGCCTACATGTGGACAGAACCTCCGTCTCCACCCCAGTGTCTGCCACTGATCTCTTGTCTGGCTGGATGCTATCCTCTGCCTGCCCTCTATCCCCTTGCCTCCAGCCTCTGCTCCCTGCCTGCTCTCTACCCGCCCTGCAGCCCCACTCACGGCAGTGGGTACTTCTTCCACAGCAGCTTGGCTGGCAGCGTCTGGTACACTGTCTTCTGCTTCCCATCCGAGCTGGGGCTGCTGGGGCTGCTTTGCACGATCTTGGCGCACTCCATCTGTTCATCCCACGAGCCTGACAGCACGTAGTGGGCTTTGCCCTGACTGTCACTCACCACTCCTGTCACCTGTGGACATTGGCAGGATCAGCATAGGCACACACCCCACTCTAGCACCCCTTCCCCTCGAGATCCTAAGGGGTGGCCATGCTTACTTTCCGGGCTACCTCTTTGGAGAAGTAGCTATAGGGCAAGAACTTTAGCTGGCACCGGTCCTTGGTCTTATGGTTCACGATCTCAATGTCCCCTGTCTGGTGAGGGAGGGTAGTCATCAGCAGCCCACCTCTAGGCCACATGCCCCTCCCTGAGGGCACCCTCCTGACCTGGTCGATCCAGAGCTTGCCCACAATGATGTTATGCACAGTCGAGGTGCTCTTCCTCCACACGTAGTGATTCCCACTGGCCTGGAATTCTAAGTGGATGGCACCTGGAAGCCAGATACAGGGTCAGAGGTCATGGCTCACCATGCTAGGCCCCAGCCAACCCGCCTGCCCACAGTCCCAGGGTCCTGACAACTGGAAGCAGTATTCATGTAGACTGGAGACAGGACATAGGCCAGGGAGGTGGGAAGCCGATTTGCGGAAAGACTAATGTCACTCACGGAGGCCCCAAGCTGGCTTCTGGGTTGGTAAAACCCTCCCCCTTATCCAGAACATCTTTCTGTCCTTGGAGAGCACAGGGCTCCAGCTCACCTAGCGGCATGATGGACAGGTATTTTCCCCGGAACTTGCTGGAGATGGTGATCTCCTGCCAGAGGCTCCAGCCATGCTTGGAGAACACGTAGTGTGCAGCTGATGGTGGGTGGTGGCTCACCTGAGACCAGACCCACAGGACATGAGCGTCTGCTGGACATGGGCCCAGGCTCGCTCCCCAACCAGCTGGGGGGACAGCCTGCCCCATGCTCAGCACGACCGGCTCCCTGGCTCTGGGAGCAGGCCTGCCTGTTCCTCTAGGGACCACAGACTCATAGCAGCCCCCAGGAAGGATGGTGCTTTGAGTGAGAAAGCAAGGGTGTGGTAGTGGGACCAGCCGGGGCTGTCCTGGGTTTGCTGTGGTCGGGAGAAGAGGGCCGAGGCTTCTCTCTGCTGGACTTGGGCTCTGAATGGGGGTGACAACAGAGCCTGGCCTCAAGGAGGCCCCTGGGACAGGCTGTGCTGAGGGCTACTGTGCCCACTCTCTAGTTAGCTGCCCCACTCATCTGCAAAGGGCTGCATCTACTGTGCTGTGTTGCACGGGGGGCCAGGCCAGGGAAGCCATTCTAACTTCCTTCCTCCCTCCAGGCCAGCAAGGCTCCAGAGCGGGAATCTACCTCAGCGGCCTGCCTGCCCCGGGTGTGGACGGTGGTGCAGCAAGCTCTGTACAGCCCTGCCCCTCGCCACTCCACTCTGGCACTGGGCACCCCTTACTGCCGCCTCACCTGCCAGTGCCCCCCCATCCGCTTCCCCCCTTCTTTGTTCTTCCTCATCTCCATGGCTCCTTTGGTGGTAGGGTCCTAGGGCTCAGCCTCCCCCCAGCTTCCTCACTCCCCAGGGCACCTTGCCGCTGGATCTCGGCCTCAGGCAGGCTTGGGCCCAGCTGTGCCCTCCAGCTGCCCACCGGATGTTCCACTCAGGTGGCTGTTTGGACTGACCAGATTGCCTCACGTGCCCACCTGCATCTCTCATTGTCTCCTGTCACTGGAAGTGACACCTTACTTCCTCCCTGGCCTCAGAAGCACAAGTCAGACCCACCAACTACTCCTTGTCGCCCACGGCCAAGGCCTAAGTGCCCTAGAGCCCTCCACACTGGCATACTCAAGCACATGCCTGGAGCTCTGCGTCATGGCTTCCTGCTCAGGCTGATGATCACGTCGTAACAGCTGCTCACGCCAGATGCTTCGGAGTCATCCCTGGCCTTCTTTCTTGTGTTCCTCCTCTAATCCTTAGTAAATCCTGGCTGTGTTTTCTTCAAAATACATCTAGAACCCGCCCCATCCCCCCCCAGGCCAGAGTGGGTGGTGCAAAGCGGCTGCAGGCTTTACTCTCTGTGGCAGCCAGGGGGGCCCCATAAAATAAGTCAGGTGTGACAAGACTCCTCCACCTGCCACACACAGTGAAACCGGAGGCCTCAGGCTGCCTGCCCACTTCCTCTCTGGCCTGTGCTCCTTTCTCTCTCTCAACTTCAGCCAGCTCTCTAAAGGAGCCAGAACCATCCGACACATGCAGCACCTGCTCCTCATGGCCCCTCTCAGGAGAACAGGCACCCCGTCCGCTCAGCACCTGGTGCTTTGGGGGCACTGGGTCAACTCTGTTCGGTGAAGAAGTGAATTCACTCAGGAGTTCAGGCCCAGAACACCAGGCTCATCCTTGCTGCTTTCTTTTGCCTCCCTCCCTCCTCCTTCACCCCACATCTAAAGAGTTAGCAGATCCCCAGGCTCTGCTTTCTAAGCAGCCTGTGCTCTGCCTCCCACGTGCCCTGGTGTGTCACGGCCACCACCCTCCTGTAGTGCTACGCTGCAGCCGAAGCACGCCTTTTAAACTAGCCACTTGGCCATGAAGAAGAAGATCTGCTTTCTGAGCTCCGTCCCAAGCCCAGAACAGTGACTGGCCCACAGCTGATGTCCAGCAGCCCACTTGGGAAGCTCTATGTTGGATGCCTTCATGCAGCACCCACTTGAGTCCTCCTAGCAGCGGGGGAGGCACCAACAGAGTCACCCCTTTTCAGACAAGGGCGCCAAAGCTCAGGCTGAGATGCCACTGCTGAGGCTCCCAGACCTCAGGGCCCAGTTTTGGCTCCGCCCCGTGAGAATACGCATCTCTGTAGGGAAGGCATGGAGAAGGGATAAGGGCAAGCTGACCTGGCCCCCCTCCCCACGGCAGGACCTCTGGACCCCAGGAGCTCCTCACGCTCTAAGCCTGCACCATCACTGACCAGGCTCCCCTCTGCCTGCCACCTCCCCCGCTCTGGTCCACCTGAACACACCACCTGTCCACTCTGGACAGCACCAGACACATATCCCTCGATGGCTGCATGGTTCCTAGCAAGGAGAGGGGCCTCCCCTGCCCTGCACACCAGCCCTGACTCTGTCCTGGGACAGATGGCGTGTCCCCGGACCTGCCCCTGCTGCAGGAGGCCCAGCTGCTGACTGGCTTGGCCCCGCAGGCGCGGGCCTGGCTGGAGTGGATCAGCGGAGCGTGAGTCGAGCTCACCTGCTCGCAGAGGGAGCGCAGGCCCATGTCATCGAGGCGGTCCAGCTCAAAGGTCTCCCCCAGCATGGGGTTGAAGGGCTTGGCGATGCGGTGCACAGTGGTGGAGTAGGAGGACACGGAGAAGGCGGCCACCAGGCACATCTGCTCCACCGAGCTGGTGCAGTGCACCGCCTTGTCCAGCAGGTGGTGGTACTCCAGGTCCTCCGTCAGCCGCTGGAGCATGGACAGGGGCTCGTTAAAGTTGACCTGTGGACAGGCAGCGGTCAGGCGCGGCTCCGGCGCGGACCCCCGGACCCCTGGGCCCCAGGTCGGCAGGCACCCTCACTTGCTCAGGTGTCCGTGGGCACCGCTGCTAGGGGGCGCTTTCACCGTGAATTTCCTCTGCTCTAAAGCCCTGTTCAAACCCACTGCTCCCTGCACGCTCCTCCCCAGCGCCTCCGGCCTCAGTTTCTCCACAGCCTCACTGCTTTCTGACCTGCTCTATCTCGTACCCTGGCGCTGGTGGTTACTGTCACTCTCCCCTCCGAGGATGGGAATGCCACAGACGCCAGGGTTTCTGACTTGGTCTGCAGAGTCAGAGTCAGTGAGTGGATGGGTGGGTGGGTGGGTGGATGAGGGGGTCTTCCTTCTGAGCTGTTCTGCTGGGTTTCTGGTAAAGTTCCTGTAGGTGGCCCCCAATCCTGGCCTCAGACAGGGACGGCCCTGTGTTCTCTCGTCCACCCAGACACTGTTGTGTGGCCTCTGTGACCCTCCCCGCTTTGCAGATGTGGACACACAGGCCATAGCCGTGACGAGGCTTGGCCGCAGGGCACACAGTGAAACCAAGTCTGGCCGGAACCCAAAGCTCTTCCTCCCCGGAGATGCCATCGCAGCCTGGCGGCACGAGGATGCCAGCTCTACCCTCACTGTGTGACCTCACTGGCATGGGCACCAGAGACCACTCTGGGCAGAGGGGACGGCCCAGCCCTGCTGCCTCCTTCTACGAGGTTGGGCCAGCCAGGATACTATGAAGCCCTGCCAGGGGCAGAGGTGCTCTCTGGGGGTCCCCCCCTTCCCTCAGAGCCTGAAACCTCTGTTCTCAGGGGGATTTTGGCAACGTCGTTGAACACGATTTGATCATGTGTTACATGCTCCTCCGGTGTCATTAAGAAAATAACACCTGGGCTGCTTATACTTCTCAGAGGCCATGGTCTCTCCCCAATGCACACCAAGAGCCCGCGGAGCCTGCTGCGGCCGCCGGCTCCAGCCCGTACCGGCATGGGGATCTTGGAGAGCTCCCGGCCAATGCAGTTCTTCATGATGCTCCAGAGATTAAGGCTGTAGTTGGGTTTGTCAGGAATGCGGACACGCCTCTTGACTTTGGGGGGGCCCTTGGGCACAAGCGAGGCGCCATCTAGCACCTGCCAGAGAGAATGTGGCTGCTAGTGGAGGCCGGGCGCCCCTCCAGCCCTCCAGCCCTGGCCCTACCTCCACCCAGTGCAGTCTGAGGACCGAGCTGGCCACTGGCTGCGAGTTGCTGGCGCAGCGGCAGGCTGATTGCCCGATCGGTCAGACCAGGGTGTGGGCAGCCAGGGCACCGAGGCCACCCCCAGGGGCCCAGAGCCCACGGTGCCAGCCTGCCCTCCGGACACCCTTGGGGTCTCCCCTCACTTACATTGTCTGATGAGGTCCAGTCCACTGAGCCTGTGGTCCCACCCTCTGCTTTTCTGGAAGAAACACAAAAGGGGAGGCAAGTTATTTACAAATCCTGAGGCATCCTGGGGACCTAGCCAGACCCCTCATGAGGTGCAAGGGGCGCCCCACCCCAGGGCTGCTTCTCCAAGGGGACATCTCCCGTTTGGGACATTCAACTGCGCTGAAGGCCTGGGGCAGTGATTGGAGGGGCTCCCATGCACTGATGCCCCTTAGGAGGAGCCACTTCAGCAAAGTGGCCCGAAGTCTCTGCATACAGCCCCCTCCTGGGACTGGCTGACCCAGGTCCTGGATGAAGCTGGGGGTGGCCATTTCCTCTGGCAGAGCCGCCTAGGGACCTCCCAGCCCCCTCCATCACAGACAGGCCCCGCTGTGTCCCCACTGTTTGCTGGTCTGACTCTCACACTAGACCTGGGTTCCAGAAGGGCAGGAAGTGGGTCAGATATATCCCTGTGCCTGCAAATACTTATGGTGAGATGGTTGGTGGGGCCCAAGGACAGGGCACCTGGGCCAGCTGGGGCAAGGGACAGGCACTTGGCAGTCAGGGTCCCAGGAAATGGGGAGGAGTCACTGGGGCATTAGGGCAAGGGGCCCCCTTGGCAGAAGCCCCAGCCACAGCCCAGAGTGGCTAACAACTAGGGAAGGTGGCACTTTGAGCCTTGGGGCTGTGTCAGGAGGCTAGGGAACCAGTGAAGAGTGTTGAGCACAGGGGTCACCTACTTGCCGGTTGGGTGGCAGCAGAGAGGCCTGGGGCTGTTGGCTGAGGTGTGGAAAGTGGCCTGGATGGCGGTGCAAAGGAGGACACAAAGCCCAAGCCCCAGGGGACTCCAGGATTGGGAGAGGTGGGCAGGGAGCCAGAGGGGCCTGAGAGGGTGACATTGCTGGGTAATAAAGTGAAAGGAAATTCAGAATAGCCAAGTCCAGCGCATTTTGAGAGGAATATAAGAAAATTTTGAAATATTATTGGGAAGTGGGCCGTGATTGAGTTGGAAATACGCTGTTGATAGGACTAGAAACTCCATGAGGGGTTAGAGAGAAACCAGGACATGGGGGTGGTGACGCGTCAGTCCATAGAGGCCAAAAATGTGTGGCCAGGGGTTTTAATCGGCCTCTCCCCACACCCCCCCGGACTGGGCTTCAGGGAGCCCACAGAAGGCAGTGTGGGTTGTGATAGACAGCAGAACAGATATAGGGGGGGAGGGGAGGGGTAAAGCCACTGGGAAGCCTGTAGTCCCTTGTCCATGAGGGGCTGAGTGCCCTGCCTCAGGGTGTACCCACAGGTGAGCATGAGAGGCTCTGACTCTGCTTGGCCCCATGGGTGAAGGTGGCAGTGGGCAGTTATGTCACCGTTCCCAGGACTTGGAGCAGCAGCTCCTCCCCAGGCCATGGCAGGGACCCCAGACACTGGTGGGGCCCATCGGCCACTTCTGTGTCCCTCAGGGCTGCCACTCACCACCCTTCTACTGTTAGGGCCTGAGCAAAGTAATGAGAAGAGCCTAATGAGGCAACTCCTAAGTAGAGCAAATCTCCACAAAGCCCCAGGGTGCTGCCTTCTGACCCAGCCCGCTACCCAGGTCTCCAGCTCTTCCCTATTGTGGGTCTGGCCCCCAGCTGCATGGGCCCACCCATGGGCACTTCCTGAGGATCCCAGAGTCTGACAACAATGTCCCAGTTACCACTGTGTTCTAATTTGTATCTAGAAGCATCCTGAAAGAGGAGGCTTTTATGAAAAAAATGAAAGGCTTAGAAATAGAAAATAAGAGGGACGTCCTGCACGTCCTGTATGTTCAGGAATGCTGGCGTGGTGGAGGGAGTGGTGGAGGGAGTGGTGGGGACTGCCCCAGCTCTGAGGCAAGAAGGCACAGTGCCTTCCAGGCCTTCCAGGCCCCGGCCCCAGCTAGCTGGCTGGAACTGGATCCAAGGCCTCGGCCTCCACCTCCACTTAAAGTCACACCCTGATTCAAATTCTCTGTGGGCATTTTGGATGTAAGGAAGAACAGGATAAATTGAATCAAAATATAATGTGAAGCAAGACTTGAAACCCCAAGTGCAGAGAGTATGTGGAGCCTAAGAAGAAGGAGGCGAGAAAGGCTAACCACGGGGGAGAGGCTCCCTCTGGGCAGCCGGCCCTGCCTGGAGAGCGCACCTGTCCTCCTTGGCCTCAGTGATCACGGTAATGAAGGATGTAGAGTCTTCCATGGCGTCGAAGTACTCAGTATCTTCATCTTCCTCACTGTCTTCTCCTTTGGGAGTTAAGAGGCTTCCTAGAGACACACACAAAACCGCTGCCTCAGTTTGCAACTCTGTGAACTCACTCACTTGCCTGAGGAAGTCCAGAGCCCAAAGGGTGCCCCCCGCTTTGGACCCTGCCTCCCAAGGCCCCCTCTTCCCCTCCCCACTCCAGCTATCCAGTCACCTGGTCTGCATTAACCTGGCTATGGCTGCCCTCGCTCCCCTTCCTCGAATGAGCGTCCTGCTCAGCGCTCTGGCTCAGAGGCCTCCCTCCTGGAAGCCTCCCCGATCTCTCAACATGCTGGTCAATCTCTCTGGGGCCTCACTTCCCTTTCTGACGGGCCTGTCACCCCCTGCCCAAGGCTAGGTGGGCCGCCACCTGGCACTGGGGCAGCCCTGCCACAGAGGGAGTTAGGCTCCCTGGACTTTTCTTGTGAGAACTGGAGCCTAAATGCAGGGAGATAATTGCCCTTTGGTGGTGGGTGTGGGAAACACAAGCACACAGGCAGGCCCAGATGCGGGCACGTTAAGAGGTATGTGCATCGGGGCACAGGCTGCGTAAGCAGAGTCAGCTGGCCGAAGGAGTAGATGGGGCGCCTGGGTGGCTCAGCGGTTGAGTGTCTGCCTTTGGCTCAGGGTGTGATCCCGGGGTCCTGGGATCGAGTCCTGCATTGGGCTCCCCACAAGGAGCCTGCTGCTTCCTCTGCCTCTGTGTCTCTCATGAATAAATAAAATCTTAAAAAAAAAAACCCAAAAAACGAGGAGTAGACAGAGCATAGGTTGGATGAACAGAGGCCGAGCAGCCTGAGCATGGGGCCCAGGCTGGGTGGCCGTCACCCACTCACCTTCGCTGAAGCTCTTGGTGGGGTTGGCTGTCCGGCCAGGGGCGCTGCGGAAGGCGCGCTCGAGACTGTTGTGCTGTTTGGCTAGCTGCTCAATGGTCTCCTCCAGGTGGATGCGCTGTTCTTGCTCATACTGCAGGGCGCGCTGCCATTTCCGGCTGTGTGTCTCTGCTAGTTCCAAGAAGTCTCTGCAGGCCTGGGTGCGGGGAGCCGTGGCTGGTGAGCACAGGGCCTGGGGCAGGGGCCTGTCTGCCCCACACCCCACCTGCCAGTCAGTGAGGAAGGGCCTGGGGTGCTCTCACCCCCCCCAGTGGGGGTGCTCAGAAACACTTCTGCTGCCCTTTCGGCTTCTGTGGGGACATGGGGACTCTGGCTTTCTCAGAGCCAGCCTGGGGACAGGCATCTGCCCTGGGCGGCATCCCACAGTCAGGATGCCATCTGAGAGTGCCAAGCCCGGGCTGTGGCTGGCAGATGCTAGGTTTTCAGACGGCCGGGGCCTGAGTTCAGCTGCTGCATCCTCAGGGTGCTGGACCTGAGGTCTGTCCCAACCTGTCCCCATGAGAACCCGAGGTATATGCAGCTCTGGGGCCAGTCCCTGTCCTTGGCATGGAAGGAAGGAAAGCCACATTCGGCTATCCTTCCTGGCTTAGAGAGGTAAAGGGTCTTGTCTGGCACAGGAAATGAGACTGGACCTTTCCACGAGGTTACCTCAAAGTCTGTATCTGCTTTTTAAGTAAGGTTCCCCTTCAAACTTGTGGCCTACGTGACACCCAGGTTCTTGCCAGCTTCCCAGGTCTGTAGTGGTTCCACCACACTCTTACGAAGGAGGGGTTGTCATTCTGCCCCTGTCGTCAGGGAGGGCCTGGGCTCAGCTGTCCCCAGAAGGCAGTGAGGTCCGAGCCAGGGACCCCTGGATTTGCCCCTCCCGGCCTCGTTTAACTCAGTGTGAAGGGCCAGGCTTCCTCAGCCCACTGGACACCGGCACTCTCCGGCCCTGCCCCCAGCACTCCCCACGCCCTGTGGCACCCGCTGCTCTGCTCAGCTCCACACATCACACGCTGTCTCACCCCTGCCTGACCCTGGGGGTTGGAGTCATGCTCTCCTGGAGGGAGAGGCACACGGCCCCTCATCCATGCCACAAGGACAATGCAGCCCTGTCCTGAGGGCTCTTGGGAGGAAGGAGGCAGGAAGGTGATGTGGAGTGCCAGGCCGAGGAGTGCTCTCTAGATACTCGTGCGGGGTGGGGGGGTACCCCGCAGGCATCGGCAGCTGCCCACCGGCTCACCCCACTGCTCTGACCAGTCCCCCCCCCCAGGGAGGGCAGTTGCACCAGCTCGGTCGGGTCCCCTCATTCACCCCTCCACCCCCCACAATCTCATGTCTACACATCAGCTTCTCTAGTGACCATGCCTGTTTCTCTTTGTCCCATGGAACCCCCAAACTCAACAGCTGCTCCAGACATTTGCTGGATGAGTGGACACCCTGCTAAGGGCTGGGTGTCGGGGCCTCTCGGGAGAACAGACAGACGGTGCCTTGCCAGAGGGGGCAGGCTCCTGCGGGGAAGGGCCCCAGCCGGGGCCCCAGAGGGCAGGCTGCCTGGCAGGCCCCAGCAGCACCCCACACCTCAGCCTTCCCCCTTGTGCCTTCCCTCCTCTCATCTCCCCTCCCAGCACCCATGAGGAGTGGGCCCAGCCCCCCCCCACACACCATTCTGCAGATGTGATGGAGGCCCAAGGAAACCAGCAAAGTAGAGTCAAAGGGCTTGTTATCAGGCCTGCGCTCCTGCGCAGGCCATGCTGCCCCTCTGAGCCTGTGTCCTGTGAGACAGAACAGTAATATCTGCTCTCACAGGTCCCTGTCTGCCTCAGCCCAGCACAATCCTCAAGGTCAGAGGAGTGGCAACATCTCCCATTGACATGTGAGGAAACTGAGGTTCAGTTTCCAGCAGCTCCCCTGCCAGGCTCTGGGGAGGAGGTGTATTCACTCCATTTCAGATTCAGGAGCTTCCCCACTCTCCCTGAAAGGTCCCTCCTGGCCACAACTAAGCCATTGTAACCCGCTTCTCCAGGAGGGGCAGGGATTTATACAGGCAGGTGACCTGGCACAGGTTGGGGCGGGAGTAGAGAAATCTCCTTATGCATTTATCAGACTCTGGAGACATAGAGAGGCTGCACCCAAGGCAGCCACAGACCAGGGCTCTTTAGTTTGTAAATTCTGGATCTTTGAGGCTCACCAGCTGGTGTGGGGCTGCATTCACTGAAGCTCATGCAATTTGGGGATGAGGACAGGCCCAACTCTGCTGCTCCCTGGCTTGTGACTTGGAGCCAAGCATTTACCACCCAGGATTCCCCAGCGGCCTTGTCCCTGGCCCCTGCTCCTCTCTCACCACTGCAGACCCCAGGGTAGGGGCCCTGATGGCAGACACATGACCACCCACTCCAAAGGCCAACTAGAGTTTGCCCCAGTGGGTACAGGAAATAGTAGTGGTGGGTAGGGTGGTGGGCAGAGTACTCTTCTGGGTACCTCAGAAATGTTCCAGATTCGTATAGGAGTCCTGGTGAAACAGACTCTGAGGTCACATGGCCAGAGGCAGCAGACCCAGACCCGGAACCCAGCTCCTTGTCCCAGAGCTCAGGCCACTCTGAGCCGCCCCTCCCTCGAGATCCCTATCCCACGTCCTCCTTGGCTTTCCCACAGCCCCAAGCTCAGCCACGGTGCCCATTCAAGTTAGTCTCAGATCCTACTGCCCGTTTGCTGACCAAGGAAGGAGTCCTCACACCGCAGGGGTGCCGGTCCACCTGGCTGCTGGCCCCAGCAGCTTGCCAGGCCCTGTGGAGCTGGGTGTGTGGAACAGGTCAGAAAGAGGCCCAAGTGCTGGTGGAGGGGGAGCACCTCATTTCCCTGGGTGGGCATGGGTGCCAGGCACACCGCTTCAGCAAAGCGCCTTGCCAGCTCCCTCCCCCCTGCCCCCACCATCCTGAAGCCTAGGGAGAAGGAGCACCCCAAGGCACGAGAAGGATGGGCCCCAGGCCTGCCTGTCTCGGGGTGAGGGTGCAGGTGCCTAGGCTGTGCCAAGCACTCGGCCTTTCTATGAGCAAGATGCACAATGGGTGTCTGATGGTCTTCTGGGTTCTTCTTGGTCTGTGGGTGTTCTGCCTGGTGGCATGCTGCCCCCCCTCCCCCACCGGATGGCCTGGCAGCCGCACCAAGCCAATGCCCTCCTCAGCACTGCTCCCGCACACATGCCTTCCACAGCTCCCTGGCAACTTCTACAGCTTCAGTTTTAACACTGGTGGGCACTTTGCTTTCATAGAACTCCCGGCATTTACAACAGGACAAGTCATCCACCCTTCCACCCTCATGTGCCTACCTGGTGTCCCTCCTCAACTGCCAAGTTTTCTTCCTCTGCTGCCACCAGCCTTCTCCAGGGCCCATCCCAGCCACGCTGTAGAGAGAGGCCGGCGCCAGCCTGGCCCCCCTGCCCTGGAATGCTGAGCTGGGCTGTGCACTGTGCGCTCACTAAGCTGGATTAGGCCTGGGGCCCGCTGGGGGCTGGCTGGGGGCAGCTTCCATGGCCCCAGGGAGGAGCCTGGCTGACCCATACCCCGAACTTCGTCCCATTTCCCCTGAGGCTCGGCCACGACTTTCAGAGAACTCGCACCCAGCCCTGAGCAAGAGCAGTTTCCTAAGCCACTCCGAAGCCCCCTACCCGAACTAGCTATTAAGTGATGCAAGGGACCAGGATGGAGCAGAACAAGAAGCCCGGCCTCTGGGCCCCTCATGGGCACTGCCTACGCCTACCCTGGGCCAGGCTTATAGCCTCCTGGGCCTTGGTGTCCTCCTGCACAGTCCCTGATTCCATGACCCACTGAGCGGTTGCCCTCTGGGTGGGAACAAGGTTCTGGTCTCCCAGCCCTGTCCCTTCCTCCTGCCCCCCATGGCTGTTGAGAGGGTCCCCGAGATAAAGAGGTGTGGGGTCCTGGGGGTAGTGCCGTTTTACCTCTGTGTGGAGGCTGGGGAGCCTGCTGAGCTGCCCCCAAGCAGTGAGAACCCAGAAGCCCAGGACTGAAAAGGCACCCTCTGTACTGGAGCTGGTCTGCTCAGCAGGAGGCTGGGGGTGCTGCTGGGCCTGCCCACCCACCACTGGCTCTCCCCGCTCAGAAGCCCCAGCTGGTGAAGGGGCTGTGAGGCCTCTCCCCCAAGCCGTGCGAGCTCCAAGGGGAGCTGCTGCTGGTCATCCTGACAGGGATCCCGCGGGTCAGACAGTGTCTCCGAGCTGCAAACCTTTGCCCAGCTGTGCCAGGAGGAAGGAGGACAAACTCTAATCGCTTTTGTTGCTCCTAATCCTAATCCTGACAACGACCTCGCCGTTCCCCAAATATGGGCAGGTGAGCAGGGCATGGGGTCAGCCATCCTGGGTCCTATACCCGTCCTGTGTGTAGCCCAGGAAGCCTCTCGAGCTCTCACAAGGGGCTGCAGAGCCAGGACCCTGCTTAAGCCTGGCCTTCAGGGGCTGCTTGGGAAGCACTGGCCCCTGCATTGTCACCGCCTCCTAGACGAGGGCATGAGGAAGGTGCCAGAGGATTGCTGGACATTGGGGGTGGCTGGCCCTTGGACTCAGGGAGGAGGTGGGGTCAGGCTAGCGGGGACCCTCAGGCTTTCAGGCTCCCAAGTGGATAGGTAGTTGGGCCTTTCCACTCTCAGCATTGCTGGGGCTGCCCATCTACCAACTACCCCACCTCACTGGTCCTCACACGGCCAGCATAACTGTGGACCTGCCTCTCACTGGCCTTTTATCATAAAGTAGCAAATAGAACGAAGTGGTGCAGAGTCCTGGTCTTCCTGAGCCACGGTGTATGGCCAGAAGCTCACACCTGGGGACACACTGGGGTGAACAGAGTCTCTCCTTCTCCCCCTCACCAAGGAGCAGCAGGCTGCCCTCAGTTCACACCTCCCAAAGGCAGGAAGGAGCAGTGCTGAGATTCAGGCCAGGCCTGTGTGGCTCGGAGGCTGCTGCAGCAGGACATGCACAGCCATCTCAGGCCTCCAAGACCAAGAGCGGAGACCCCTGGAGCCATGATGGTCATGCTGGGCTAACCTAGGGCTTTGGGGGGATAGTCCCTCTAGGTCAGGCCTAGCCAAACTACCATGCTGTGTCTTCAGCACCCTCCTGGCCCCTAGAGGCCGAGCAGCTCC